CAATATCTGTCATTTCCCATTGAAATTGGAATTCTGCAATGTTTATAGAGTATAATATTTATTAATGCATTGGTTTTATTGGCATTATCTATATATTTGACAGATTTATCAGGCAGGTAAATATTACTTCATTTAAGTATTCAATATCTGTCATTTCTCTTTTTAATTGGGATTCTACAATGTTTGTAAAGTCTAATATTTAATTAATGCATTGGTCTTATTGGCGTAAATCTATATATTTTACAAGTTTATTAGTGCAGGTAAATATTACTATATTTTAGTGCTTAATTTCTATCATTTTTCTTTGTAATTGGGATTCTACAATGTTTATAGAGAGTAATATTTAATTGATGCATTGGTTTTAATGCCGTTAATCTATATACTTTACATATATTTATCAGGGCGGGTAAATATTTCTACATTTTAGTGCTCAATTTCCATCCCTTCTCTTTTTAATTGGGATTCTGCAATGTGTGTAGAGTCTAACTTTAATTAATGCATTGGTTTTATTGCCATTATTATATATATTTGACAGATTTATCAGGCAGGTAAATATTACTAAATCTTAGTGCTCAGTTTGTATCATTTCTCTTTTAAATGCGATTCTGCATTGTTTATGCAGTTTAATATTTAATTAATGCATCGGTTTTATTGGCGTTATCCAGCAGGTGGTGGCATTGCCATCCGTTTCTGTTTTAATCTAATTCAAGTTCCTGCAGCATCAGAGATTTGCTCAGAAAACAAAATCTGAAAAAAAAGGCAGAGGGAAATGTTTATAATAATAATTTAGATGAATGAATCTGACGCAATAATACCAAAAATGCATTTTAAGAAAGAAACAAATATGTTGTTTTGATTTCATGCTGACTTAAAAGTTGACTTTCTCTAGTTTCTCTTTATATACAGTAGTAAACAAAATAGTAGAGATAATGAACTGTTGCTTAATGCTATGAGATCAAAATATCTTCTGTCAAATAAACTGATTTATTAGAGTTAGGAGTCACTTCTTGTTTTTATGTTCACCAAAGCTGGATTTATTCGGACAAAACTAAAGTAAAACGGCAATAATAATACTCTAATATTTTTAAATGTCTTTAATTCCTGGAAATGTCCAGCAGGGTCATTTTAATATCACTGTGTAACTATTGTATTTTTATTTATTGTTTAAATTTAGTTTTTTCTTTTAATAATTTGTAATTCCTTTTATTTTAGTTTGTATTATTGTTATAGTGTGGTTGTGGTTTTTATAGTTTTTAAAATAATATATTTATTCATGTATTTTTATATTTATAATAGAGTATAGATTTAATAGTCTTTAATAGTTTTGTTGGTAAATTATTAACAATGCTAAAAAATTATACATTTTTTACAATAGAAACCATACTTTTCTTGCATTCATTGATTCATTTAATCAATATTTAATCAATTTAACACATCCTAGCTGATTGAAAGTGTTACATTTACAAATGCGTGTGTGCATAAACTTCTATCAAAAATCTAATAAAAGATACATTAATTTTCCTTCAACTTTTCTTCTCTGATTTATCAGGGGTCACCACAGCGGAATGAACCGCCAGTAATAAAAGATTACAAAGGCTAAATGTACAGTTGAAGTCAGAATTATTAGCCCCCCTTTGATTTTTTTTCTTTTTAAAATATTTCCCAGTTGATGTTTAGCAGAGCAAGGAAATTTTAACAGTATGTCTGATAATATTTTTTCTTCTGGAATAAGTCTTATTTGTTTTATTTCTTCTTGAATAAAAGCAGTTATCATTTTTTTAAACACCATTTTCAGGACAAAATTATTAGCCCCTTTAAGCTATATTAGCTGATAGTCTACAGAACAAACCATCATTATACAAAAACTTGCCTAATTACCCTAACCTGCCTATTTAACCTAATTAACCTAGTTAAACCTTTAAATGTCATATTAAGCTGTATAAAAGTGTCTTGAAAAATATCTAGTATAATATAATTTTGACTGTCTTCATGGCAAATATATAATAAATCAGTTATTAGAGATGAGTTATTAAAACTATTATGTTTAGAAATGTGCTGAAAAAATCATCTCTCCGTTAAACAGAAATTGGGGAAAAAATGAACTGGGGAGTTTATAATTCTGACTTTAACTGCATATTGTTGATTTAAAATCAATAACATACATTAAAGAAAGTGTATTGCTAATTCTGATGTTGACTTTAACCACCAGTTACCTACAATGATATAATTCACATTCAAATATCAATAAAAGTAGAAATTAACACATTATTAATTTCAACCAGAGGTGTTTTTCTATATCAAGCGAAGTTCACACAGTGACTAAGGGACAGCTAAGCCGGTTTGGTTGCCATGATGTCCCACTCCATGGTAACGGCCACAGATCTCTTTCCCCGCATCACTTAAAAGACAGTAATTACTTCCACACAGAGTCGCCAAAAAAACAAAAAGTGCACCCAAGAAAACACTCAAGTGTCTCCTATTGACCACCAGCATTGCCAATAAACAACCCCTGGCGTAACAAATCCCCGATGTTCGTTATAGGTCGCCGAATTGATATTCAATTATGCTGTGATCCATAATGCAACAGCAAAAAAGAGGCCTTGAAATGGAAATGACACGTATTGTGCTTTTGGGGTGGAGTGGCCTCGCCTTGTCATCCTATTAGGAGACGTGAATAGACGCAAGGTGTCCTCACTGAAGCCATCGTCTTTATGATTAGCTTTACAATGGTTACAAAAAAAACAACAACCAAGAAGCTGTGGGTTAAACCTCGCAGATCATCTTCACAGCTGTGGGTGTTGCATGTCGCAGGTTGTTTTCCAGCCAGAAAGGGTGCAATGTCCTCTTTTTCTTAAGCAACAGGCGCAACGGTTTGTCCAAAAGCAGAAGCAGCTTCGCAGAGTGTTTGTGAGGGAGATAAACATCGCAAAACCATTAAATGTGTTCCTATAAAGCACCTGCTGTCCTGTAAATAATGGTGTATACACTGTTAAAAAAGCGATTGGTTAACCTGTTATAACTTTGACACTTGAACATTTTTATAATTATGCCCATAGTTCATTAACTTAAAAGAACACGCATCTTTTGTTTGAAAATAGTCTCATTTTAAAGCTCCCCTAGAGTTCAACAGTTGAGTTTGACCATTTTTGAATCCATTAAGCCCAACTCCAGGTCTGACGGGAGCACTTTTAGCTTAGCTTAGCATAGATCATTGAATCGGATTAGACCATTAGCATCTGTAGTTACATCATGTACTAAGACCAACATAAAACGAAAGGTTGCAATTTTCTACATTGATATGCATAAGAATCGTAGGATGGGAACTTTGCTGGCTTACTATTGCTGAAGCAGGCAGTGATATTACAGAAAGTAGTCCCCAGCTATGTAATTTCTAACGTGAATGGCACTAAGTTTGTGTAGTTGTAGAATTGCAGTTGATAAATTGGTTAGTTGGTGGGTTTACCTGTGTAATCATGGTTATGTGTGTTGTAAAGGGCTGTGATGTATGTGATATGGTATATGAAATATTTATATTGAAGGATACGGCTATAGCCATATCACTCTGCAACCCAAGACCGGCCACTCACTGAAGTTAAACAGGGTTAAGCCTGGTCATTACCTGGATGGATGACCTCATGGGAAAACCAGGTTGCTGTTGGAAGTGGTGTTAGTGAGGCCAGCAGGGGGCGCTCAACCTGCGGTCTGTGTAAGTCCCAATGCCCCAGTATAGTGAAGGGCACACTATATTTTCAGTGAGCGCCATCTTTCGCATGAGATGTTAAACTGAGGTCCTGACTCTCTGTGGTCATAGAAAATCCCATGGCATTTTTCAAAAAGAGAAGGGGTGTAAGCATGGCTTCCTGGCCACATTCCCTCTATCGGACCTTACCAATCATGGTCTCCCAATCATCCTCATCCACCAAACTGGCTCTATCACTATCTCTCCTTTCAGATGCAAGGCCTTTCAGATGAGACATTAAACTGAGGTCCTGACTCTCTGTGGTCATTAAAAAATCCTGTGACATTTCTCTTAAAATGTAGGGGTGTAACCCTGGTGTCTTGCCCACATTCCCTCCATCGGCCCTTACCCATCATAGCCTCCCACCAAATTGGCTCTATCACTATCTCTCCAATCCACCAATAATTGTGATTGGCTTAGCTTAATATATATCATTGAATTGGATTAGACCAAGGACCAGAGTAAGGAACTTTGCTGTTGTACTATTGCTGAAGCAGGCACAGTGATATTACAAAAAATAGTACCCAGCGAGGTAACTTCTAACTTGAATGGCGCATATTTTGTGTAGTTGTAGAATTTGCAGCAGATAAATTGGTTAGTTTCTATGTTTACCTGTGTAATCATGGTTATGCGTGTTGTGATATATGTAATATGGTATATGAAAAAGTTATCTTGACAGATATTAGCCAATTTTCTGCCGTGTTATCATTAGGCATGCTGTAGCCATGGTACAGCAGCTGAATTCTTAGATTATTGTGCCAAAATGTGAGTATAGTTCCTATAGCCATATAGACAATAGCAACCTTTTTATTTTATGTCAGACTTAGTAGACAATGTAACCCCAGAAGAGTCAAACTTTCAGCAGGAAAATGATCTAAACTGCCATTTCTGAGCGAGATGCTAATGGTCTAATCCGATTCAATGATCTATGCTAAGCTAAGCTAAAAGTTCTCCCAGACCCGTAAATCGGCTGAATGGATTCAAACTGGTCAAAACTCAACTGTTTACCTCTAGACGAGTTATAAAATGAGCCTATTTTCTAAAAAAGTGGAGTGTTCATTAAAAAAATTAAATAAACAGTTATTTTTAAATAAATAAAGTCAACTTATATCTTTTTATAGTGTGTATAACATGATGCAGAACTCTAGATAGTGACAGCTGCAGCAGGCGCTTGTACGTCTTGCACAAACTCCCAGCGTTAAGCTGATAATTGGTCATTATTTTAAACCGGAGGCTTGGATGCACCCCTGTTTTCCCTCCTACCGGCAACCTCCTGCCTAGTCGATGGCTCTTTCCTCTGTGATGTGTGCTGCTGCTTCCTAGTGAGCGCTGTTGTTTGTGAGTGGATGCAAGGCTTCTCTTCCTGTAGGCTTGAGTTGCGTACTTCATCTGTGTGTGTGTGTGTGTGTGTGTGTGTGTGTGTTGGGGGAGGCTCTCTCACCTGTTCATCTTGTGGACTTCCTCTGTCAGCTCACTGTGAGCCAGTTCACGGTCAGGGAAGGAGACAGCAGCTGAACTCTCAGGTCGTATCTTTGTTTGTTGTTGGATATTGACTGAAAAATGAGTAGAAATGCAGAGATTTACAACTTGATTGTATGCGTTTGTACTGTATGTTGATGTTTAGCATTATGTTCAGACTTATTAGAGTGACACTGAGTGTACTATTAGGAAACTGAATCCTTTCACCTGCATTACGCTTTGTGTATTGAACAGCAAACATCTAAATGGAGCTTAATTGTACAAACCGATGATTATAGTTATTATATTATGAGCTATTATGATTATTTCAGTATGAATGGAAGTAAAATAAAAACTTGGTAAAAAAAAATATGATAATATTAGAAGTTATAGATGCTTTTTTTTAGTTTATTGTTTTAAATTGGATGCTTTTAGTTAGAATTGAAGTTAAACAATCAGGAAAACCTTAACTAAATTAGTCAACATTCATCTTTCTAAATCAAACGTAGTTCGATCATAAATTCTAGCATCAAAAACAATATTTAGAAACACAAATTCTATAAAAATATTAAGAAAATAAAATGATATAGAAAACTTTAAACTTAAAATTTAAACACAAATAAGCAATAGATGTATTGTTTCTAAGTTATATATATGTCTACAGTATGTCTATCTAATTGTTATTGCTGCAGGTTAGTTTAGGGCTGTGATCTCACGAGAAAACGTAAGTATTTTACGTTTTGCCAGTTTAGTGGCTAATTCGTACGAATTCAGTCGTACGAAATGGTACGATTTTAAAAAGGAAGCGTGGCACCTAACCCCACCCCTAACCCCAACCGTCATTGGGGGATGAGCAAATTGTACTAAATTGTACGAATTAGATCTTACGAATTCATACGAATTAGCCACTAAATGAAAAAGTTACGAATTGCCGTGAGATTGTGTTGGTTTTTTTAATTAAACCCATTGTAAAGTAAACAGACAGAAGCACTTGTAATCTAATCTGTGGTAAACAATCAGGTGATATCATTGTCCCGGTTTTGAAGGCTTAGATGGAGCTTTAATCAGACTTTGGGTTTCAATGGATCTAAAGAAACCCACTTTACTAATTACATGCTATTGCTTCAAATGGCCCTGACAGTAATTAGTCTTGGTTGAGCGTTATTTCCTTACCCTGTTTAGTGAGCTAGAATAGTTCTGCTTCTTTTTAGTGCACTTGCAAGGATTTGTTATGCTAAAATGGTTTTTACTGTAATGCATGCTTACCTGTAATTAACTATAATTTGATGTTTACAGTATAAAAAGCAGCCTTAACGTGAGAGTTTTGTCTAGGTCATTTCCGTCTCCAAATGAGATAGACTAGTTACGCGGCTATAATTAGTACAGGCAGGCACTACTGAAGGGTCAGAAAGCCCTTATAATCTGGCCTGGACATCCCCGTGTGATAATCAGGACGTTCATGAGCTGAGCAGAGCTTCATTTCCTTGAGTGCCGTTCACGTCATTATGACGTGATGTCATCAACCGTGGCTTTACAAAGCACCTTTGTGGATAACTAGCTTTGTGGTAGTATTAACATGATTTGGAAGGCAAATTGTCCTGGCATAAACCCCTGGAAAAAAATATGTGCTTTCTGCATTCATAATGAAGTTAATGACCAGCATTGACTCCTGTTTAGTATTCCTACTGAAGAAACAGCATATTTTATGTTGTGTTGTAGATGCTGGAGTTCACAAGAGAGCCAGAATTACTATTAATGCTATTTTTAGGTGGTCTTCATATAGAAATCTAATATACAGTGCTCATCATATAGGAGTACACCCCTCAGGAATCTCTAATTTAAATTAATATTTTCTAAAGGCTTTACAATATTTTATTTGTGCACTTACATTAGATTAGTCACTACTGAAGCCAAATCTGGAGCCAATCTACTAAAATATCTTACGATAAGATCTAAACCCAGGTGGAGCTGGGGTGGAGGAGGGCCTCCAATAACGCACCGTAGCTTAATAGCGTAAAATGACACAGAGGATTTGAACTGATGAGGAGCAAGCTCATTGGCTGCTGAGATGACAGTAACCAATCCCCTGCGCCATGTAGTTAATGACGCGGGAGTAGATTGGGTGAAGCTATCAGCCTGTAAACGCACAGAGTTTTTCCATTTTTTTTTAAATTTCACTGGAAAAAAAAAAAAAATAATAATAATAATAATAAATAAAAATCAAACTTCAAAATTTAAGAAAATTTTTATAATTTTTTTGTTTCTCTTAATATTTTTCCCTTATTTTATCAAACAGACATATTTATTAAAATTATATTTTAGTCACCAAATATCTTTACAAAAAGAAAGATAATACACTTAAATTCATGCAAAATATTGCAAAACAAATAACAAACTACAAAATTTCAACTAAATTCTATTGAATTCTTTTGATTTTTCATTTTTTTGTATTATTATTTAAGATTTTGCCCTTAGATTTTGTTAGATTGGCTCCAGATGTGGCTTTAATATTGACTAATCTAATCTTTATGCACAAATATATAATTGTAAAACTTTCTATATAAGATAATAATTAAAAAAATAGATATTTGTTAGGGGTGTACTCGTATATGCTGACCACAGGATACTGAACATATACAGTGCTCAGCATATATAAGCACACCCCTCACAAATCCATCTTTTGAATTCATATTTTAATAGGAAGCTATACAATAATTTATTTGTGGAGATATATTAGATTAGTCAGTACTGAAGCCAAATCTGAAGCTTATCTAACGAAATAACTTACAATAACAGTCCAAAAACTAGTACACCCAAATTTACATGTTTTAGAAAAATATTAAATACAAATTTAAAAAAGAGGAAAAATTAAGAAGCAAAAAAAAAAAAGAGGAAAAACTGTTGAAATTTTGTAGGTTGTCATTTATTTTTGCAATATTTTGCTGGAATTTAATTGTATTTTCTTTTAATTTCTGAATATGGTCGGCGTCAGTAGCCTAGTGGTACTGCGCGCTGACATATAGCACCAACGTGCCCATGGCGACCCGAGTTCGATTCCCAGCTCGAGGTCCTTTGCCGATCCTTCCCCTCTCTCTGCTCCCAATGCATTCCTGTCTGAATTCTCTATTGACCTGTCATAACAAAGGGGAAAAACCCCTTAAAAAAAATAAAAAATTATAATTTCTGAATATGTTTGGTGACAAATATTATTTTAATAAATCTGTTTTGTTTAAATGCACCAAAATACATTGCCTATATTCACTAACAAAAAGGGGTATACTCAATTATGCTGAGCATATGTACTTATTGATACTTACAATGGTTAAAAAAAAAAGTAAACAGAAAAAAGTTGCATTCATGACATATGTTGCATATGTGAAATCCAAATATGAACTTAGTATTGACTTCCAAAGATCAGATTTCTATATGATGCCTGATGTGACATGTATTATAGATAGATAGAGGTTGTCTCTGTTTGTGATGACATTGAAAAGAACGGGCAAGCGTTGAGTTAGATCATCTCAATTTTAGGGATTAGCTCTAAATCTTGGTCGATGGAGGTCAGTGTGACAAGCTTTCAGTAGTCTTAGAGCGTGGTGTTAAAATCTATGCTGACAGGCTACAATTTTCAACCAACAGCCTCTGGGGGGAACTTTATAAAGAGAGCGCTATCCTCCAGCCACCATGGACACTTTTTTCCGACGGCATTTTAAGAGAAAGGAAGCAGGGGACGGTGTGCATGATGACTCCTGTCGACACCGGAGACCGAGCATTGCAGTGCCAACCAGCCGTGCCCGACGGCGCTCCAGTGTCGGCCTCCCATCCAGTGCATTAACCCAGCGGCGCCGATCCAGCGTCCAACTTCAGGCATTGCCCCGAATCAACAGCAGTCAACCGGTACATCAAAAGAGCAGCGGTAGACGGAGGTCAAGTACCACCACCCTGAAAGCCAATCCTCGCTTTGCTGTGCGCCGTAAGAAAGTAGGCAAGCTTCGCAATATAGACACACACCTCCTAGGCCCATCCATGCTGCTAGCCAGTCTGATCCAAATGACTCAAGAAGAGGAAGACGATGAAGAAGGTCGCAGTCCGCTCCCAGGGCAAGTGGAGCTCAAGGGAAGCAGCTCGAAGTTCAGGAGTCACACAGATGTGCTGCTTTCTGAAGGTGACAGTGATAGTGATGACTCCAGCGAGCATTCAGAGGAACGTCAATACTCAAGGATACGCAAAGAGTGTCTGGAGGAGGCTGATGGGTCAGACTGGGGGGTCAAGGAGTCTGGTGTTTTATGCCAGCAGGACTGCCTTCCTCTGTCTGTGGTGGCGGAGCGAATCCAGGCCCATCCGCTGATTCGAGTCCCGCGCTGCCTCAGGAGGAACTCGTCCCATTATGGCCATGCGGATCCAGGACCGCATGTGCGCTACTGCCGCAGCAGCCAAAGGAGGCGTCGTAGGAGGGTCTCCACAATCTCCAAAGCAGGAAGCCCATGGCCTGGAAGAGGCCTGCCGCTGCCTAACCGAAGAAGCTCCTGTTACAGGGGTCCGGCGACTTTCAATCCTCTCCTGGGGGCTTATTATGACCCCCGATTGGAGTCCTGGAGTGGATTCTTGTCGTATGTAAAATCTTTTCTGCTATTTGGGTCTAATTTGGTGTTGTATTCCCAAATTGGATGAGGATTAGTATAATTTGTTGTAGAGTTTCTTTAGATGCAACATTACAAAGAACAAAAATCTTTCTAAAAACATTCATTCGTTTATAGTTAAACATTTAGGGCAATGTTTCTCAACCACATTGCTGGAGGACCACCAGCACCGCATGTTTTGGGTGTCTCTTTTATCTGTCACACCTATTACAGGTCTTTCAGTCTCTGCTAATGAGCTGATGATCTGAATCAGGAGTGTTTGGTTAAGGAGATATGGAAAATTTGCAGAGTTGGTGGTCTTCTGATAATGTGGTCGAGAAACACTGATTTAAAAGACCCTGTTATCCAAAGCGACTTATAATAAGTGTGGAAAAAAAGATGCACTTCACATCATCAGCTTCAGACTGACAGTTTCAATTTGCTTGGATTTCTACTGCTTTGACATAATCTACATTGCCAAAGCGCTATAGAATTACAGATGAACTGAATTGAATTAGTGAGCAGCAGTTTATAAAATGTTATATAATTCTCTGTTACTAAGTCTACAAGTTAATTTCTTACATTTTTTGTTCTTCAAGCTTCTTAAAGAATCTATTTTTTCCATCCCAGTGCACTACTTCTCCATTGTTTTATGGAATGCATTGCATGAGTGTTGATGCTAATCTTCCACTTGAATGAATTGAAAACGTTCGCTCTGCAGTGCTCACAATGTACTAGCAGAAACCCATAGTAACACCTGTATCTTGCATCTATTGAAGTGTTGCACACATGAGCGGTGTGTTTTTTAGACGCTATGTCAAGTATTTTAAAAAGAATTGAAACTTTTATATGCAGCACTGCTCATAAATGTCAGTTCCAAAGCAGTGGACCAATCAGAAAAACTTGGAGGTGGGGCAAGTGCGCCAACCTGATTTCACCATTCATGTTAAGTTTAGGCTTAAGGTTAGGTTTATATACTTTTACATGATTGTTATCCAACTATTATTCCCCTCTGATTTTGGAAATAATTTACAGCTTTGGTTGGGTTTAGGGGTAGGGAATAGGTATGGATTGCATTTTTATTAAAAGATTTATTTGTGGCCTTTATTAAGTGGATAGGACAGTATGTCAGACAGGAAGCGAAATGGGAGAGAAAGATGGCAAGTGCTGCGTTCTCATGTTTTTAGATGCATAGATGCATTCTGTGTGATTGGCCCCTTAGGCTGCATCCAAAACTTTCTTTCCCCTAAGATTTTAATGTCTTTTAATGGAGAGTTTGAGTTCAAATGCATCTCACAAAACCTTAGAATGTAATGGCATACAATGCACTACGTAATTCATTCATTCATTTTCCTTCGATTTAGTCTCTGATTTATCAGAGTTCGCCACATCGGAATAAACCGCCAACTATTCCAGCATATGTTTTACGCAGCGGATGCCAGATGCAACCTAGTACTGGGAAACACCTATACACTCTCTCATTCACACTCATACACTACGGCCAATTTAGTTTATTCAATTCACCTATAGCACATGTGTTTGGATTGTGGGGGAATACGGAGCATCCGGAGGAAACCCTCGCTAACAGAGAACATGCAAACTCCACACAGAAATGTCAACTGTGCCAGTTGCCAACTGACTTGAACCAGCGACCATCTTGCTTTGAGGCGACAATGCTAACCACTGTGCAACTGTGCCGCCACGCTACATAATATAACTAAGAAAGCAAGAAATACCACAATTCTAAATGCTGACACCAAAAATGTGATTGTTGAGACAGTTCCAGCACACTATAAGCTCAATAAAAGGAAGGTAATGAATCTGCTTTGGCTTCAGATATTGATCAGAGGAAGCTAGAGGGTATATTTCACTAACCAGGTCATGCTTTGTTGCGTTCTTACTTCTGTATATTGAGCAGTGTTTTTAAACGTATGAGGATAGTCTTTAAAGTCATGACCTATATCAAGGTTTCTTACATCATTAAACTCCAGAGTTCACACCCAAGCCTAATCAAAAACACCTAAGCAAGCTAATCAAGGTAATTAGAAGAAAATTAGGTGACACTTTATTTTGATGGTCCATTTGAGTATTAGTAAGTCTGCTTAATGATTGATATGCTTCTTCAACAGACATTTAAGTGACTATAAGAAACTTTGAAAGCACATTTCATTTTACACTAACCCTAACCCCAACCTAACAGTCTACTTATAATCTAATGAGAATTAGTTGACATGTAGATGCAATGTAACAAAGGGATCATCAAAATAAAGTGTGACTAAAAATTAGAACTAAAACTAGAAAAATCACAGGTCAGGATAGTGATCTGATCTGAGGAACGCTGATCAATGCTTTGCTTGGGTGCATTATGAAAGGATGTCTTCTGTTAAAAGTAGTTTAAAGTTGGTTTTGACAGCAACATCAACAGTGCATTCTCGATTATAACAACTGTAATGTGCAACATGAGCTCATTCTGAAAACGTAGCCCTATATATAGGGCTGGGCTTTACGGCAGAAATTTTCATATCAGTTGATATTGATAATTATCACGATAAATGTCAATCTTTATATCTAATAATTTTAAAAATGTTTTTAGCATGCCAATCCCTTTGTGCAGCTGATTTAACACGTTTTGTGAATTTTTTTTAGCTGTCTGACAATATACAAAAAATAATCTTAATTAAGTATTTACTGTTCAAGTTTTAAACAACCAAAGACATTACCCTACGAGTTATTGTATGTTCTTGTTCAACATAAAAAAAAATAAATTGAAAATTTGGAACAAGTACAATGCGAGTTAATGGTGACAGAATTTCCAGTTTTTTCGCCAGTCTTTTTAATGGCGAGTATGGTGAATTTAAGGTGAAATATCCTTTAATATTTATTTTATTTAGAGACATAAACGATTACTTGATGATCGATTGATTGTCAAAAACCCTTATTGATGACTGATTAAGCTTGGACATTTGAATGTTGAGTTATGCTTTGCGCTGTGAGACGCGTCCATGCATTACATCATCAAGTGTGTGCAGTTTACCTTACTTAAGGAGTCACTGTCTTGACATTGCATATTGCGGGACGCATAAAAAACCTGTTATGCGCAGATCTCAGTTGTATCCATTCACTCAATGGGTTTCTGAGCTCTCTCATCCTTCAGACCAAGTGTATTCTTCCGAGGTAATCTGTTTTGTGTCGGATTACAAAAAACTAAGTCGGTCTAGAACAGGGGTTCCCAAACTTTTTAGTCCGCGACCCCCAAAATAACAATGCCAGTGACTCGCGACCCCCAATATCCTCTGAGGTGGTTATAAATACAGAAACCTTGCATGCAATGACGCAGACACACCAATTAAATTTGTGTCAGTGCTTTAAATGTGCCAGAAAGTATAACCTGATGTTATAAAATCAAAATGCATCTGACGCTATTGCTGCCTTTAATATAATGTAATTACCCCAGGGGTCGCAATCCAATAGAACTAGTAACTATAAGCTACTATAGTAACTATATAGTATATAGTAACTATAAACGACTATTTTTATTTTCAGTATATTTATGGATAAAATATGTTAATTCTTATGGTTTAATAAAAATAAATAGATTTTTGGAAATCACCAGGCGACCCCCTTCATTGCCCCGCGACCCCTCGGGGGGTCCCAACCCCCACTTTGAGAACCACTGGTCTAGAATACTGAAGTTTAGTGACGTTTCTTGTCAACAATGTCTGTGACGGTGACATTTTTTTACCTTATTTATTTCGTACCCCTCCAAGTGTAACTAACACTTTATGACTGTGCACTTGTAATGCGAGCAGCATCCGGTAGGGCAGGCTGCAAAATGCCAGCACAGCGTTACGCATAGTCTGTAAATATTATCGAACACTTATCGAACTGTCATTATCGTTTTATAGAAAAAAATATATATCGTGATAATTATCGATATCAAATTATCGCCTCGCACTACCTATAAACATTTTTGGAGACGGCAAATTACGTAGCCAGAGAAGCGTATGGCTGCATTTAGTCTTTAAGACGAACGCTACAGAGCGGCATGACGGCATTCCTTTTCACGCTTACCAGCTGACCGCTTACCTCCGTATGCACTGCTTTTCCGCTGTTACAGGCTTGCCATGTACGTCGGCAGACTTGAGACACCATAGGGAGTTGATGATGTGAAGACGTGGTTTGAAAAAAAAAAGCTTCCAGAAAGCAGTTAAGACAAAAACAAAAGCTCCAAAATAAAACAAACAAGTAAATAATGGTAAGAATGTGGTAAGATCTGAAAACATGGTAAAAATTAGGCTCTCCTTTTTCTGGATTGCTTTTGAAAACACTGTGGGTTGGGTTTCGGGAAGTGGGTGGACGCTGGTCAATCAGTGCTTTTTTAAACATTATCGGTTGGGTTTAGGGAAGGAGGAGGGTGGGGGGAACCAATGGATCAGTCAGTCAGTCATTCAGTTAATCGACAGCGGCCTCTGGTGGATTTACATGAGAACAGCAGGCGCGGATGACACTCGCACGAAAAATTTGGGATCTCAAAAAGCGTACACAGGGATTGACGAAAACAAGAACTGCAAAAAAACGTACCTCCTTGGTCGTATTTGGCGCTCTCCAGAAATGTATATAGGTTGTACATAATTAGAATGAGCCTGGGTTGATACTGTTGGAGGTCACCAAGCTGCAGCATTGCATCAATTTACAAAAGAATGAACACTACAGAGTGTATACTTCTTTAACGGACAAGTAAATGTACCACAATGTGCAACTTTCTGATATGATCTGCGCTGTTTTTGAATGTCCACTTAGCCCTTTCAAGCTAATACCTTTAGTAATTTCTCAAGCACTCAAACGTTTAGTTCAGGCAGTTCCAATGCAGCTTTTCAATGCATTGACCTTCTCATTCTCCATCCTGTGGATACAAGCTCCACGTCGCTCGCTCATTAGCGCTGCTGCTACCAATGTGACTCATCAACGCCAGTCATCACCCAGTGGGCTTCTCATCAACAGGTTGCTAAGCTTCACTGATTCGCTCTGTAGGGATTAGGACACAAAGGTCAGGGTGAGAAAGGGTTTGATTACAAAAGAATTAAACACACAAAAAAACTAAAAAACATTGGAAATGCCCCACCCAAGCCTAAAGGTATATATTTGCCTCTATAAATGCATTTCCTGTGCAGGTTCTTTGCATGAGCGTTCTTTTGTAGGCTTGATTGCTTCAGAGTTCTGCTACATCCGTTTCTGCTCTATTGCATTCACATTTTGCATAAATGTTCAATAGTGTGTTCAAATCAAGGACGTTTTGAGCAACAGCTAAGACTAGCGATATTACTTATTTTTTTATTTCAAGAGTTCACACTTAGCTGATGATTTACAAAGCTTATTTGGCATGCTGTCCCGGGAGAGAGCCCCGAGCTCAAGGGCTCCTCGAGCCCGGGGCTTCCTCCCGTTGGCAGAGCAAGAAGGGAGCCTGAGCTCGGTGGATCTCAGAACTCCCCTGCCGCTGTAGCTAAGGGAACGTAAGGAATTAGACCAGCTTGATTGTTAAGTATGTTGAATGTCTTTGGATGGTGGGAGGAAACCGGAGAGCCCGGGGAAAACCCACGCGGACACGGGAAGGACATACAAACTCCCCACAGAAACACTCACCGGTCCTATCGAACTAGGACCGGCAGTATTCTTGCTGTGTGGTTCACAGTGCTAACCACTGGACCGCCGTGCCGCCCAATTACAGGTAAAGGAGGAGAATAGGGGAGGAGGGGGGTTTCTTCCAAACGAAGATAAAGTGAACTGAAAACTTAGACTATTTATGGTGCCTTAGGGCTCATATGATTGGAAGATTAGTGATTAGCAAATGCGAGACTGGACGTGATAAATCATAAGCACGTGATCCTCTCGAAATTAGTTTATGAATAAACTTCACTTTGTTACCTGAAACTAAAGTTATACAATTAATGGAAATCAAAAACTAAAGAAAACTAGCAACAGACACAGAAAAACGAACTGAAATTAAATAATAATCATCGTTTTCAGAATATTAATCCCTCACTTTGTGGTGTAAATCTAATCTGTGGCTGTTTGATCTGCATAGGGAAATAACTGATGGTGCTTTTACAACCAAACACATCAGTCAAGAGTGATTTTTAATATGAATAACTACTTTAAAAAATTATGTTTGCTGTTTGTTCAAACTACTTATTTAAAATGAGCTGAAACAACACAGTTCGTGAGTTCTTTAGGGAAAACTTAATTGTTTTATGTTCAAACCACTTAAATTTATAAAAAATTCGTACAAATTTTTTAATTCTTTCATGTTGTCCCAACACAAATCGTGTGGAACCCAGCAATTTTTACAGTGCATTCTTCATAATTTTTACCTTTATGCATTTAAGCTGCTTTTTCGGTTGAATGTTTTTGGTTCACACAATAGTCAAAGTAAATTGCGAAACATTAAACTTTGCTCTGGTCGAGAGTGGATGTGTTCTGCAAAACTAGAATGACTGAAAACTGAATAGAAACGGGTTCATAAATTTAAAACCAAGCCCAAAAAAAAAAAAAAAAATCATTCATGAAACAAATGCTAAATTAAAAATTTACAGCAAATTTGAAATAAGAACTATTAGTGGCACGGTGGCTCAGTGGTTATCACTGTCACCTTACAGCACGAAGATCGCTGATTCGAGCCCCGGCTGGGCTAGTGGGCATTTCTGTCTGGAGTTTGCATGTTTTCCCTGTGTATGTGTGGGTTTCCTCTGTGTGCTGTTTTCCCACATTCCAAAGACATGCGGTATAGGTGAATTGATGAAACCAAATGGACTCTAGTCTATGAGTTTGTATGTGAATGAGAGAGTATATGGGTGTTTCCCAGTACTGGGTTGCAGCTGAAAGGGCATCCGCTGTGTAAAACATATGCCAGAATAGTTGGTGGTTCATGGACCTATGATAAATAAGTGACTAAGCTGAAGGAAAATTAATAAATTAATTTATTTAAGCTGCATTTGTATGGTTTGTTTGTAATTTTCAAAGAAAAAAATTATTTTCATCACTGATGTTCGCACAATAGTCAATGCAAAATGTGCCAACATTAAACTTTGCTCTGGTGGACACTGGGTGCAATAACTAAAAGTACTCAAACTAAAACTGAAACTAAATAAAAACAGTGTTGCATGATATAGCTTGCTGCGGATTCCAGCCCAAAAGCCGTCCAAAACCCACCCAAACGCACAAATAACCGCCCTTAAAGTTAAAGGGTATCATAGGGGTGGTTGTGGCGATCATAAGCTGGTATTAAGTGAATATCGGGCGGATGCATGGGTTTCAAAGCCAGCCAAATTTTGTCAACCAGCCTATGTCATTTTTTACACGCAATCAAATTCAAAACTGCCAAGTCTGGCAACATTGCATAGAAACGAGTTCAAAAACTCAAAACTAAAGAAAATTACCAAAACCATTATTGAAACAAATAAGTAATAAACTGAAAATTTAAAATTTAAAAATAGCATTAAAATAAGGACCAATTTAAAAAGGCAAAACTATAAAAACCTTAGTCCGAATTCTACAGGAGGAAAAATTAATAATATTCACACAAAAAAGTTGTCAAAAAGTATACCAGTACATACTTTTATAATACCATAATATTATAATGAACTACTTCTGAAAAGAATCATACATGTTCATTTGTTGATACTTTATTATCTCATCATAGCACTGTATTTAGTGACATTCATTCATTTTCATTCGGCTTAGTCTCTATTTCAAAGGTCACCACAGCGGAAGGAACCGCCAACTGTTCCGGCATATGTTTTACACAGCAGATGCTCTTACAGCTGCAACCCAGTACTGAGAAACATCCAAACACCTTTATTCATACACACAAACGCACTCAAACACTACGGCCAATTTAGTTCATCCCATTCACCCATACCACAAGAATTTGGACTGTGGGGGAAACCGGAGCACCCGGAGAAAACCCACACCAACACGGGGAGAACGTGCAAACTCCACACAGGATAAGTGATATAATGTAATATAAATATAAACTTCATTCATCCTACACCCATTCATTTGCATCGTATATAGAATGAAAGCACCTACTATACTGTATGATTTTTGAGCGAGAACAAGAATCTTGTAACATTGATGAGCTAAATAATACAAGCCAAGCATAATGTATACACAGTGTACATAAAGATTAGAAGCAGAAAAACCTACAGATGTCCAAGCCATGCTCTATAGCGCTCTGTGTGGGTTGCTGCTGGTAAAAATAACCGTATTGATTGATACGGAATTAAACAAGTGCAATTTAACAAGACCCCCACCGCTCCAAGGCATTATGAGAAAGCTGCCAACCTTTCAGGGACAAAATAAATGTTCCTAATTTTATTGTTTGTGTGCTGTAATTGACTTAATTAAGATATGATTTGCACATCTGCTTAATATCACTGCCATGTTTTCTTTTTTTTTTTTTCTCAGGAAAGCCATCGCCAAAGCTGGTGTGCAGGATAACGCTGCTCAATCCGGCACAATAACACCTGCTAAAAGTGAACCCAACAAAAAGATATGCAACACCGTGGATTGGACCGTGAGTTACTCGTCTGTATTTTACCAACAAGTAGGCCTGTCACAATAATCTATGTATCGACTTATCTCACAATGCAAAGACATGACCTCAATCGTTTTGGTGATGCAATACACAGTTGAAGTCAGAATTATTAGCCCCCTTTGAATTTTTTTTTTCTTTTTTAAATATTTCTCAAATTATGTTTAATAGAGCAAGGAAATGTTCACAGTATTTCTGATAATATTTTTTATTTTGGAGAAAGTCTTATTTGTTTTATTTCGGCTAGAATAAAAGCAGTTTTTAATTTTTTAGGAACCATTTTACAGACAAAATTATTAGCCCCTTTAAGCTATATTTTTCGATAGTCTACAGAACAAACCATCATTATACAATAACTTGCCTAATTACCCTAACCTGCCTAGTTAACCTAATTAACCTAGTTAAGCCTTTAAATGTCACTTTAAGCTGTATAGAAGTGTCTTCTATAAAATATCTAGTCAAATATTATTTACTGTCATCATGGCAAAGATAAATCAGTTATTAGAAATGAGTTATTAAAACTATTATGTTTAGAAATGTGCTGACAAAATCTACTCTCTGTTGAACAGAAATTGGGGAAAGAATAAACAGGGGGGTTAATAATTCAAGGGGGCTAATAATTCTGACTTCAACTGTATTATCGCCATACGTGAAAATCAATTCTTTCAACATTGATCTCTATCGGAGGTGTCAGTGTTAGTATTGTCATGTTCACCAGCGAACAAACCACCAGATGTCGCTGGTAAACACTCACTCATGGAACTACAAATCTGCCAGTTAATGGACTACATATTCAGTCATGCCACACACACACACCTGCCCCAAGTCTCCACTTATTAGACTCCTACAACTGATCCTGTTTGAAGACTGATTTCACACAGCATTCAAGCAGCACACACACTCATTCACATTGCCGAGTCTTGTTTACTGATAGTGACATTACAACGCGTTTTCCTTTGTCTGCCTTTTCCGTGTTTTTATCTTTGCCTTGCTTATTTGTTTAATTCTGTTGCTGCCTGCCTCTGACCATCTGCCTGTTGTTTTGACTTCAACTCTGTATTGCCCTCATACATCTGTTTGCCGGTATTGACCACTGCTTGCCTGTCTACGATTAAACCTGCATTTGGATCCTACCTTCTGTTGTTGGTGTCACTCCCCGTCGTTACAAGTATGGTTAACCTGGCTGGGTAGATCCCGAGGAAACAAATCATCTGGCATGCAGAAAAAGCAATGACACACATTATTCAAATTTTACTCTGAAGTGGGATGACACTAATGCCGAGTTCAGACTGCATGATTTTCAAAGTAGTGATTTCACAGATGTTTTCACACTGCATGACTCTCTGGGCTAGCGTTTTGTCGCTGCTTTGTTTACACGGCAAGATAGATCGGTGTCAGGGGCATTCACATTGCATGACTTTACAATAGAAAGAATCGCCGACAACTTCATCTAAACTACGTCTCACAGCCAAAAACACGTGGTATATTTTTTGTTATTAACTACATAACGAGAAAGAAGCCTATAATGGGGTAGAAAATGTACATATTTGCTCACCTGGATTTGAAGGGAATTAGCCATTCCTCCTCAACTTTCTTTTTAACTTTCTGTATCAAACAGACACGGGTGCTCCTGTCAAACCTCCACTAGGTGGATGCTGCTCTCTCATTGGCTGTAGGCGATCGCTGATGCTATTTTCAGTGAAAACTCATTTCACACGGCATGATTTGAATCGCGACAGCTCCAGATATTTAGCACGCCAAATATCTCACAGGCACCGGCGGCTCATCGGCGATTCTCTCATATTGCGTCTTTAATAGTTTATACTGTGTGATTGTCACTCACGTGCACGAGCATCGATTTGCCTGTGATTTCAGGTATTTGTCTGCGATTTCTCAAAACTTGTCGGCGAGTCAAAATCGGGGCTAAAATCATGCAGTCTGAACTCGGCATAAGGTTATCATATAATCTAGGCCAGGGGTGGCCAACCATGTTTCTGGAGAGCCACCTTCCTGCAGATTTCAGTTGCTACCTATATCAAACACACCTGAACCAATTAATTAGGAGCTGAACACCATGTGATAATTACATGCAGGTGTGTTTGATATGGGTAGCAACTGAAATCTGCAGGAAGGTGGCTCTCCAGGAACAGGGTTAGCCACCCCTGATCTAGGCCCTTAAACATTCAACTTTATTAATAATCATAAAGACATCAGAATTTATACGTGTTACTCCATCCTCTAGCGGACATTCATTAGAAAACCCACACCATCAAAAATGTAATAGAAAATTACAGTGAAAACCATATACTGTAATAGTTTTCTATGTTAATTTATTTTTAAATATTTTATATTGTTATATGATTATGATATAATATATTAGATAGGGCTGTGTGATTTGGGGAAAAAATCTAATTGTGATTTTTCTGATAGACATTGTGGGCCCTATCATACACCCGGCGCGGCGCTATAGTCTTTTGGTACTTTTAGCTCGGCGCAAGGGTCATTTTGAGGTGTTGCGCCACACTGTTTAAATAGCAAATGCATTTGCTATTTAAATGTGCGCCCATAGGTGTTCTGGTCTAAAAAAGCAGGCGTGCGCGTTGCTAATTTGAGAAACTGTAAATAGTCTGATCTTTAGACCAGAACAAAGTCGGTCTATTGTCTGGCGCAAAGTGCGCCTGGCTTACACCAGGGGCGTTGCTAGGGTCGAAAGGAATAATTCAACTGGGGCTAATCAGACTTCAACTGTATTCTTCTTCCAGCCATCTCAGGTATTTTCATAAGAAAGTCGATTTATAATCCCCAGCTAACTGACATAGCATGTTACAGTAAAATAGCTATACAATAATATGCTAGATTCATGAACTCACTGTGATTTAAATATTACAGAAACAGATGTGACTGGCTATATCATATCTAGATAAATATGCCTAGATAACTATATCATATCTAGAAAGCTAGAACAATTTACGTTTTTCTGACTAGTTCACATGTGTAAGAGCCAATTATGCATAATTCATTTGTGATAATAATTTAGTTAAAAAGGTTAAAACATGATCAAAATTGATATTTGAATATAATAAGAATTCATTTTGATTGTATTATATAAAATGCATAATTTAGTAATTGATATAATTTAAAAACCTTTAATTTGGTATTTTGGCTTCTGACAGTAATACGTCATGAGGTCATTAGTTCATATGTTTAAGGCAGATTGCAGTTATGGATGTTGGAAGCAACACAGTTTTTTGATCGAGCTGATCGAGTCTATTGTAACTTTGTATTTTTGTTTGCATTTCTTCAGTAAACCTTTTTTAAAAGAAGATTCGTCTTACTCGCGTTTTTGCAAATACTGGTTGTTGAAATAGAAGCTGCAAAATGTGGTACATAAGGATTTGCATGAGAGGTGTGCCAACACAACATGTATGCATTGATATGATGCACATTTTATTGATTACAGTTATTTTATTTCACCAAAACTACACACATTTTATACTGTGGAAACAAATGTTAAGCTTCATTAGTAGTTAGAACTATTCAGTTTCGCGAAAGAGTTGTATTATTACCTCATCAACTTCAGCTCTTTAAAAAAATGAATAAATGAAGTGCAGTGGCGGAATTTTTTTAAACATCATGTGACAACAGTGCCACTCCCACCTGCCGGTAGATACAGGTACTGCTGTACAGCTGACCTGACTGAAACACTGCGTTAGGTGGAATGTGCGTGATGTACGCGGTAATTTTCAGTACTTAGATAACAAAGTAAATGTTATACACCATTATATATACTTATATTTTTATTTAAGTGCAACATATTGCAAAAGATCAGGGGCTTTTGACAATACATCAGGGGCTTAAGCCCCCCAAAGCCCCCCCCCCTATATATATATAATAAGGATATATACAGGATATAAATATAAATGATTAAAATATTACAAAACATATTAATTTCTAGCCTACATGAAGATTTAAAAACCACTGCCTTCATACTTTCTTCATCTCGGGAGGCTTTTTCATTTCATTCAATTTGCTTTTGTATAATGTTATTATTATTAGCAGTATTATTTATTATATCCATATTTATATTTGTTTTATTAAAAACAAGCTTTGATTTGCTCACCTGTCAGACCAAATGGGGCATAGCAGGTGTATTTGGAAATAACTCAGTATTTTGACCACACTTGGTTATTACTGTTCATTTATTCATTTGCTGGAAATTAGAACTGAATTTAGAAATAGTTTTAAAACAAATATTTGCGCTTAACAAACTAAATTAATTTTTTATAGGCTAATTGATGTCTGTGTGTAAAGGTTTCCCTATCCACGAGAGCAAAAGTGAAAGTGAACTTGCTTTACTTCAAAATACGCTTATGGCGCGACGCAGCTGGCTCTTAAAGGGAATGGGAGGATGAGACTCTAATTGGTTTATTCTTAAAACACACCTATAACTCATTAAGAAAATAAACTCAACCCTTTTAGACCATGCGCCACGGCGCAAAGCAGATTTCCCCCTCCTTAAATTAGCAAAAATGCGTTCTGACACGCCCTGAAAGCGTTTGCGCTCTGCGTTTTGCGCTCTGCACATGGACCGTCAAAATAGAGCCCTGAGACTTGATTTGCGGTTTAATTTTGTTGCAAGCTTCAGCTCAATAATCTGTAAGGCGTGGCAACAATTTTTCGACAGCTCTTAAAAACGACCTGTTTTTATTCAATGTCTGTGAGCTTGAAACCGAAATATTCCCATATTACCAATGCTGTTTCTCTTTGATATTAATTAGTCTATTAATGCTTCTAAAGCCGTAGACGCCATTATCACTTTTGTCTATGCTTTCCTGTTTGTTTGTTTTTTTTATTGTGAATGATTCGCATAGTTCGCTTGCGCAATCTTGATTGAGCACGCTTAAGCCTGGTTTAGACTTCTGCGTCAAGTGACCGGCGCAACTCACGGCGCAGGCAACGCGCGCAGCTGTGCATTTATACTTCTGCGCACTGTCTCCGTTGGTCTGCATTAACACTTCCGAAACGCTAGTGGGCAGTGAGGTGTAAATGTTCCTCTGTGTCGAGTTTCTTCACTTCTGTTTTGCTATTCTGAACACTTCCTGGATGTACAAGTGACTCAAACTCGCTCATTTTGAGGCAGGAACCGGCGGACGTGCAACAACTTTAACCATGAGGTAAACACAGAACAAAACTTTCCATCCGGAGCTCCTTCACGGGACTCCACACTTGTAAACAATCGCTCGCGCCATTCGCGCGGCTTTCGGTCCCGCCCAGACTCGTCAGCGCTACCAAGCCGACCAATCACAGAGCTTGCGCTACGCGTTGTTGCGACGTGTAGTTACAATTTTTGAGAGGTGCACGTCAGTGACGGCGATGGCCACGGCGAAGGGCTATGCGTCAGCGCCGTAGCCTACGCCGGTGTTTGACGCAGAAGTATAAATCAGCCTTTACTCAATTGGCTAATAAGACTGTCACACACAGACAGCAGTCACGCATTTGCTCTGGGAGAGGGAAATTAAATAATTCATATATATTTCATATTACAGCCTCTTAAGATTAACTAATTGCGACGTTTCAAACTGCGATTCGATTTCGATTAATCGCACAGCCCTTATATTTGATATCATATTTGGTGCTCAAGAAGCATTTCTTATTGTCTTTGTTGTTTTGCATGCTAACTTTAAAACTATAGTACAATGACATGCATGAATGACAATTATTTATGATTTATTAATTTACACTGAATATTTATGTCCACCATTTAACATTTTCTCTTCGAAATATATTATGAAATCACTTTCTACAAGGAGGACACATTAGGTAATCAATATATCGACTTATTGCAATTAATATATCAGCTTATTGCACAACACATGCACATGACCTCAATTTTTGGTGATGCAGTATATATATCGCCCATACATAATCAATTCTAGCAACATTTTAGCTGATTGTGCAAAATCTCTATGACTATTGGAGGTGTCAGTATCAGTATGGTTATAAACACTATAGTATTTACTATAAATTTACTATAATGATATCTTGGAGCCAATAGCTAGACTGTACAATAGATCCACAACAGACTTTCTGGATGGACACATCACTGTTTTGCTCTATCACTTTCTAATGCTTTAACATTTTAAAACTACATTATGAACACAGGGATTAAACTGTACTATAACATTTTAAATAGCGCTACCTCAGCAGCCCTTTGTGCTTTGGTGCCAAAACTTAACATAAGGACTGATCGTTCCTCCAGATTTGTAACAAATGGATGTTTGCCATTACCGGGTTTTTAAAAACTGTTATAGACAGAGATCTTTCTTTTATGTATTCACAAACACCTGGAATGAGATCCCACAACATCTAAAAGCAACACCAACGCTGAGACTTTTTAAAAATAAAATCACATGCTCGTCATCTGATGGTCAACTATCACTGTAGCCACTGAGATAGTAGCCTGCTTTTCTCTATTTTACATGTTTGGTAATTGTTTTTACTGTGTTGGTGAATGAGATGTCTGTCGGTTTTTTATGTTCTGCAGAGCAGGAACCTGCTGAAAAACAGCATTAATGCTGAGTCAGGCCGGATTATCTTCTAATCTTTTCCTGTTTGAAAAATCATAAATAAATAAATAAATAAATAGTACATTTTCATGTGGGTGTCTGACAACTGAAAATAGATCTGGTAGCAGATATCGCAGCCTCTGTTACTTTTTACCTCACACTTTTTTTGTAAACATTTATTATTATTATTTATTTAGGATTTGTGTTTCACATTCTGATATCAACGACTAATTATTAAATTGTTAAAATGACTAAAATAAATATTGTTAAGAATAAAATTGTATGTGTTCTTTGGAGGAGTGTGCTTGCATTGTGATATTATATTGTCAGTATATAATGAGTGGCACGAAATGCTCTTAGAAAGACAATAATAATGTTTATCGCAATTTATTTTGGTGCAATATATCATTCAACAAAAAAAATATATATATCATGACAGGCCTACCAACAAGCTCTATAATACACTGAAAAAATTATTAATTAGATTTACAACTTACTTTTAGGGTAAGTGGTTGCAAACAATTTAAAAAGGCTGAATTTTAACAATCAAATTAAGCTGAACATTAATAAATGTAATTTGTTGGTTAAAATTCAGCCTATATAAATAGTTTGCAACCATTTACCTTTAAAAAAATTAATAAACTCAATGAATCATTTCAAGGTCAAGGTAAGGTCAAGGTAAAATTTATTGTCTCCCGTAGGAGAAATTTGTTTTAGAAAAAAAGGTTCTGCTGTACATCGACACCAACAAGACAACATGTAACATACATACACATTAAAATCTAATCCTAAAATACCTCCTAATATAAATATGATTCCATAAAATAAGTAATTTTAATAAAATTTTTATAAAAAAATTAAATAATTAAAGTACCATATGCCCCACTGCCCTCTGTTGTGCAAACCAATCCTGTTATCTTAGTCTTTGACCATCCTTCCTTGCTTGCTCGTTGATCAACTTACTTGAAAAAGGAACAAAAGAATGTTTATATCTATTATGCTTGCACAACGGGACCCTATATCTTCTGCCAGAATTCATCAGCTCATATTCCACAGACAGCACATGTGAAGAATCAGATAAAATCTTGTTGGCTTGTTGGATTGTGCACAACTCAAAGATGTCTTTTAGTGAACCAAGTGTCTTAATTCCCATGATTTTTCCTGCCACTCTCATCAGGTTATTTACTTGGGTTTTCATTTTTACTGTCAGATTCCCAAACCAAACAATAATCCCATATCTTAAAATAGACTCTATTGTTGCTTTATAAAAAGTCATCATTATGCTGCTACTCACTCCAAATAATCTTAATAATCATTTGATTTCAATGTACCTACAGAAAGGTATCCGATAAAGCAGTATCCATATAGAGCATTTTGAGGCATGTAAACGATTGTAATGTATTTCCTGTTTTACATTTAGATAGCAAATGAGGATCCAAAGACAGCCACATATTGATAAATAATGTTATGATAGCTGTTTTACGTTATGATTGAATTGCCTTGTTACAGTTATGAATTGGTTTGATAAGCAGGAAATGTTCAAGAGCAAATGACATGACAACATTGAAATGTTCTATAGCAGTAAGCACTCATTAATCTTTTGGTTTTCCACAGGAAAATGCCCAGTTGGGTCAACACGTGTGGTTTGAGACCAGTCCGGCAGGAGATTTCTGTTATGTGGGGGAGTCAAACTGTATCGCAAAGTCCCAGGTAGACACATATTGTAGTGATTCTTAAAACAATCATCAGCAAAAATGAGCAGTGTGTATCGAAAAACCCTGCACAACAGCTCCCTCTTCTGGTTAGATGTTCTATATGCATTTAGATAAATCGCTAAGATGCTAATTACCATTTCGTTTTGTCCTCACAGCAAAAGTCTCTTCCCCGCCACAAATGTGCAGCTTGCAAAATATCAGTTCACACAGAGTGCATGAATCAGCTGGACAAGGTTAGAAGTTTGTAGAAACAACTTTTGAACGATTTGGGGTGTAATAACAATGTATCTTCTCAAAGGAAAATGTGCGCTTTCCCTACAGATTAACTTCAGGTGTAAGCCAACTTTTAAAGATCCAGGGACGAAAAATGTCAGAGAAGTAAGACTTTTTGTCATTTTATATCAAGCTTTTTATATATTTCGCTCTGCATAAATGAGTACACCCCCTCACAGGTCCTTTTTTTTTTTTTTTTTTTAAATATACTCACCGGCCACTTTATTAGGTACACCTGTACAACTGCTTAACGCAAACTTCTGATCAGCCAATCACATGGTGACAACTCAGTGAATTAAGTCATGTTGATGTGCTGCAGTTCAAACCGAGGAGAATGGTAAAGAAGGGTGATTTAAGTGACTTTGAATGTGTCATAGTTGTTGGTGCCAGATGGTCTGGTCAGAGTTTTTCAGAAACTGCTGATCTACTGGGATTTGCACGCACAACCATCTCTATGGTTTACAGAGAATGGCCCGATAAAGAGAAGATATCTAGAAAGTGGCAGTTCTGTGGGCACAAATGCCTGGTTGATGCCAGACGTCAGAGGAGAATGGCCAGAATGGTTCGAGCTGATAGAAAGGCAACAGTCCACTCATTACAACTGAGCTATGCAGAAGACACCGGGTGCCACTCCAGTCAGTCAGCTAAGAACAGGAAAGTGAGGCTACAATTCGCACAGGCTCGCCAAAATTAGACAATAGAAGATTGGAAAAACGTTGCCTGGTCTAATGAGTCTTGATTTCTGCTGCGACATTCAGATGGTAGGGTTAGAACTAGGCGTCAACAACATGAAAGCATGTATCCACCCTGCCTTGTATCAACGGTTCAAGTCTGTGTTGATGGTGTAATGATGTGGGGGATATTTTCTTGCCACACTTTAAGCCTATTAGTACCAATTGGGTATTGTTGCTGACCATGTCCATCCCTTCATAATAATAATACATTTTATTTAAAGGCACCTTTCTAGCAACTCAAGGACACCATACAATCAACAAGAGCTATAAAACAACAAGAGAAATAATAAAATATACACAGCAATAGTGCAAATAAAATTAAGTATTAAAAGCCATCCTAAATAAGTGGGTTTTGAGTTTTGATTTGAACAGTGTTAGGGAGTCAATGTTTCTGATGGCAGGTGGTAATGAGTTCCAAAGCCGCGGAGCAGAGCGGCTAAATGCTCTGTTGCCCATAGTTGAAAGTCGAGAAGAGGGAACAGACAAGTGCAGGGAGGAAGAAGATCGCAGGGTGCGAGAAGGAACAGAAATGTGGATGAGGGCAGACAAAAATGGAGGGGCGAGATTGTGGATGGCTTTGAATGTTAACATCAAGATTTTAAAGTCAATTCGAAAATAAACAGGTAACCAATGAAACTGCTGCAGGACAGGGGTGATGTGATGAGAAGAAGGGGTTCTGGTGATGATACGGGCAGCTGAGTTCTGGACCAACTGAAACTTGCAGAGAGATTTATGAGTGAGACCAAAGAGAAGAGAGTTGCAGTAATCTAAACGAGATGTGACAAGGCTATGAACGAGAACAGCAGTGACCACAGTGTACCCATCTTCTGAATGCAACTTCCAGCAGGATAAAGCGCCATGTCATAAAGCGTGAATCATCTCAGAGTGGTTTCTTAAACATGACAATGATTTCACTGTACTCAAATGGCCCCCACAGTCACCAGAGCTCAATCCAATAGAGCACCTTTGGGATGTGGTGGTTAGGAAGATTCGCATCATGGATGTGCAGCTGACAAATCTGCAGCAACTGCGTGATATTATCATGTCAATATGGGCCAAAATCTCTGAGAAATATTTCCAGTACCTTGTTGAATCTATGCCACGAAGGACTAAGGCAGTTCTGAAGGCACAAGTGGGTCCAATCCGTAACTAGTAAGGTGTACCTAATAAAGTGGCCGGTGAGTGTATAATATACTACAAGCCAAAACTGGATCCAATCTAACAAATATAAATAATTAAGGTCACAGCCCAAAATTAGTACGCCCAAATGATAATTATCTTTCTATTCCTAAAAATGTTAGGGTACTGACTGTTTAATAAAAAAAATGTAAATGCACCAACAATTATTGGCCATATTCACTGAGAAATGGATCAAAATATTAATTTTAAAATGGGGTGTACTGGTTTATGCTGAGCTCTATTTATATATACATACAACTGAGCTAATTTGTGTTTTAGACTCCAAATATGAACCATCACTGGGTCCATAGGAGAAGGCAAGATGGAAAATGCCGGCAATGTGGAAAGGTCAGTGCAACACTCCTAAAATATGAAAGACGTAATCATCCAGAAAGTATTTATATGGCCTAATTTCACTATCCTACCTCAGGGTTTCCAGCAGAAATTCTCCTTCCACAGTAAAGACATTGTGGCCATCAGTTGCTCATGGTGTAAACAGGCTGTGAGTATCGTATGCGGGACCTGGAACTAGTATTTTTAACATGCATGAATGAACATTTCCTAATACAGTAAATCATATGTGAAATTTGCCATGTGTCCTACAGTATCACAACAAGGTGAACTGTTTCATGATGCAGAGAATCGATGAGCCGTGTTCCCTTGGCGCTCACGCAGCTGTGATCATCCCTCCAACCTGGATTATCAGAATGCGGAGGCAGCAGGTACCGTCTGACCTGAAGAGAAAAGGGTTCATACATTTCATATGACACATGACTTGATATAGTCGCTCATCCAGTAATAAGTACAGTTTCAGTCATTCAAATACTGTGACTGCATTTGCTTTGTTGATATTTTTGTTAACTTCTTTTGTATGGAAAATTGGAGTCAGTTTATTTAATAAAAACAATAACCAGCATTGTCATTTAACATTCATAACAATAAATGTTTGCAAAATCAGCATAAAATATTTTATTTTTATTAAATTAACTGTATTTTTTTTTACAGAAAATTAACAATATTACAGTTTACATACCTTCTTTTAAAAATTCAAAAAGATGAATTCAAAGAAGTCAAGTTATTATTTGTTGTTTCTAAAACTTAGATAGGCGAAAAGACTTTTCTCCATGTATATATATAATTACATATATATATATAATAAGTACATAATACTTCACCTGTAATATTGAAAGATACTAATATTCAACTTAAAGCAACATAAAGGCTTACCTAGGTTAATTAGGCAAGATAGGATAATTAGACAAGGGACTAGGGGGCTAATATGAGCTAAAAAATTATGTAAAAAACTATTTTATTCCAGCCAAACTAAAAGAAATCCAAAAGAACAAATACACAAAATTCATTGCCCCGTTAAACATCGGAAGAGAAATATTTAAAAAAGAATACAAAATTCACAGGAGGGCTAATCAATTTGCCTTCAATTGTATATAAGATACAGTAGTAAACATTTGAAGTGGATCAAAAATGTCTTTCAAAATTGTGCAGTTCAATAGTTTTAGACAATATTTTGAACTTTTTTGACACACTTCAAATGTTGACTACTGTACTGTATATAATTTTGCGTCATCATCTTTCAGTGACTGTTTTACTTTTTTGATAAGGAACAAGGAGTTAATTTGCATTCATGATCTCATGTTTTTACCAGTGATATCTCACAGAAATTCATAACGTTTTGATTTAGTGGCTAATTTGAGTGTATTTGTACAATCTCATGTGTACACTTTAGTACGATTGGCTCATCCCACAATGACGGTTGGGTTTAGGAGTGGGATTTGGTTCCATGCCTCCTTTTAAAAATCATTTCATACGACTGAATTCATACGAATTAACCATTAAACTGAAAAAATAAATTGTTAGATTTCCTCGTGAGTTTAGGCTGTTTTTTTATATAAATGCTCTGTATAAAATGCCTCACTTGTACCGCACACAGGCATCACTGAAGAGCAGTAAAAGAAGGAAGAGAACGTCTCTGAAGGCCAAACCCAGCAAGAAATTAGAGGTACACCACTGAACACCACTGAATGAACCTGACGTGACAAATATCACAAGATTTTAATGTTTCACTCTAAGCAGGACGGCAAATGGAGAAACTTCGTGGTGAGAGCGATTCCTTCCCAGCACATGAAGCCTCTGCTGGTGTTCGTCAATCCGAAGAGTGGTGGAAACCAGGTCAGAACCCAGACAGAGAGTTATTCATGCATACAGTGGAAGTCAGAATTATTAGCCCTCCTGTGAATATTTTTTTTTTTAAATATTACCTAAATGATAATTAACAGAGCAAGGAATTTTTCACTGTATTTTCTATGATATTTTTTCTTCTGGAGAAAGTCTGATTTGTTTTATTTCAGCTGGAATAAAAGCAGTTTTAAATTTTTTTAAAAACATTTAAAGGTCAATATTATTAGCTCCAGGGCAAGGCAGTGGCGCAGTAGGTAGTGCTGTCGCCTCACATCAAGAAGGTCGCTGGTTCGAGCCTCGGCTCAGTTGGCGTTTCTGTGTGGAGTTTGCATGTTCTCCCTGCCTTCGGGTGGGTTTCCTCCGGGTGCTCCGGTTTCCCCCACAGTCCAAAGACATGCGGTACAGGTAAATTGGGCAGGCTAAGTGAAGTTTATTCATAAACTAATTTCGAGAGGAGCACATGATTATGATTGAACACGGCTGGTTCTGCATTAGCATGCATGATCCACCAATCAGGCCATTCCTAACCCACTATAAAGAGCCAGGGTTTTTTCACTACAGTCATCTTCGATTTGAAGAATCCCCCCTTCCACCCCTACCTTTTCACCTTTCCCTCCCATAGGGCAGCACGGTGGCCCAGTGACTAGCACTGTCGCCTCACAGCAAGAACGTCACCGGTTCTAGTCCTTTAACAGGCCGGTGGTCGTTTCTGTGTGTAGTTTGCATGTTCTCCCCGTGCTTGCGTGGGTTTTCCCCGGGTCCTCCCGTTTCCTCCCACATTCCAAAAACATGCACAACAAGTAAATTGATAAATCTAAATTTGCAATACAGGTAATCTCATAATGCAGCATATCTTTTAATAGCATTCAATTTTAGTCATCAGCTCTTATCAAGGAGGGAGTTGTCTATCTACCTGAGCTCAAGGCTCCCCTCTCTTCCTCCAAACGGGAAGGAGCCCAGGGCTCAAGAACCTTCGAGCTCAGGGCTCTCTCCCGGGACAGCATGCCAAACTTGCTTATAATCAATCATCAGCTAAGTGTGAACTCTTGAAATTGTCCGTAGTGTATAAGAGTGTGTGTGTGTGTGTGTGTGAATGTGTGTGTGGATGTTTCTCAGAGATAGGTTGCGGCTGGAAGGGCATCCGCTGCGTAAAAACTTGCTGGATAAGTTGGCGGTTCATTCCGCTGTGGCGACCCAGGATTAATAAAGGGTCTAAGCCGAAAAGAAAAATGAATTAATGAATTATAAGCTCCCTTAGGCAATATTTTTTTTCGATAGTCCATCATTATACAATGACTTGCCTAATTACCTAAATTAACCTAGTTAAGCCTTTAAATGTGACTTTAAGCTGAATAAAAATATATAGTAAAATATTATTTGCTGTCATCATGGCAAAGATAAAAGGAAACAGTTATTAGAGATGAGTTATTAAAACTATTCTGTTTAGAAATGTGTTGAAAAAAAATCTTCATTTCATTAAATGGAAAAATATACAGCAGGGCTAATAATTCTGACTGTATACTGAAATATTTTTCAGCCTCATAACAGCACCTCCTATTCCCTTCTAGGGAACGAAAATCATCCGTACTTTCATGTGGTACCTGAACCCCCGGCAAGTGTTCGACCTGACTCAGGGAGGTCCGAGAGAGGGGTGAGAGAGAAAGCAGATAGATCTTACTTTTATTCATCAACATGCTTCTCTTACGGTTTCTCTTCCTCTTTTAAGGTTAGAAATGTACAGCAAAGTGCCCAACCTGCGCATCCTTGTTTGTGGTGGCGATGGAACGGTTAGTCAGACATCTGAGCTATTATAAAAGCAGATTTTTTACATTTCTGCTGAATGTTGACTCTATGATGTAAAATATTGTAGTCTGTTCATTAAAAGTTTCTGTATTTTGTGTTTCCTGTTTATTTACGGTTGTGAATTGCATTATGAGATGTTAATCTCAGCTCTATTGGCTATTTTTGATGTTGACAGTTTACCAAAGTGACTTTTACTGACATTTTAATAGTTTGAAATAATATAATGTATAAGAAATAATATATAGAGAAACAAGTCTTTAAAATAACAGAAAATGTACAGGCAGTTTATTACAAGGTCCCTGTAAAATACAACACCTACCTTGACAATATATCACTTTCAACCAGGGGTCACCAACTCTGTTCCTGGAGAGCTACCTTCCTGCACATTTCAGTTGCAACCCTGACCAAACACACCTGTTTGTAATTATCAAGTGCAGCTTTAGGTACTATTAATTGGTTCAGGTGTGTTTGATCAGGGTTGGGACTGAATTCTGCAAGAAGGTAGCTCTCCAGGAACAGGGTTGGTGACCCCTGCTTTAAACTATTACAAATGTTATTAAAAGTCCTTTTTTTTTTTTTAAACTTTTTGATGTTAAAAAGGAAAACTGCTAATATATTGATATTTTTACATACTATAATATGTGATATGTGTTCGCTTTATGCTGGTTTTATGACAGGTTGGCTGGATTCTGTCAGTGCTGGATGAGCTTCAGTTGAACCCTCAACCTGCTGTGGCCGTTCTTCCCCTTGGGACAGGAAATGACCTGGCCAGGACCCTCAACTGGGGCGGGGTATGAGAACACTAATGCTCTAGGTTGCAAAGTTCTCATTAATGTATTTAGAGGAGTTTGCACGTTTTCTTTTTTTTAAGTAGCCTATTGAAAAAGCTTTACACAATGTAAAAATTGTATTTTCTGTATTTTGTAAAAGTTCTGTATTTTGTGATTCACTAGTGCAGTGGTTCTCAAACTGTGGTACGTGTACCACTAGTGGTACACATGCTTCCTTCTAGTGGTACACGGATGAATCAAATATGTCATATGTACATGCTACATATATTTAAATAAATTATCAAAAATTATTTATATATGAATATGATGACATAAAGCCTATATTTATGAGGTCCAGGCAACATTTCCAGGTGCTGATAAACCAGGAGTTTTTTTTTTTCGTTTTTTTACTTTTTAAGAACAGTAACCTATTATTTTTAACTTTTAAAAGCACATTTTAATTTAACCGTTCTTAATAATAGGAATATGCCTTGTTTTTTAACTGTATCGAGTTTTTGCTGTTTTACTGGACCTAATACGCTACTGTTTTTTCAATACTGGTCATTATGATGGTACTTGCAAAGACGAGGTGGTACTTGATGAAAAATGTCTGAGAACCATTGCACTAGTGTTTTCTTTTTATTAATGGTTGTGAATTGCATTATGGGAGTTTTATCTCTGCTCTGTCCACTTTTGATGTTGGTAATTCAACTCTGCAGTTTAACAAAATGACTCTTAGTACACATTTTAGCAGTTTGAGACAAGGGGCCCAATCATGGATGTCTCTAGCATCCCCTGTCATGGATGTCAAACTCTCAATTTCTGGAGAGCCGCAGCCCTGCACAGTTTAGTTTCAACCCTGCTCAAACACACTTACCTGTAGGTTTCAAACAAGCCTGAAGGACTCAATTAGTTTGATCAGGTGTGTTTAATTAGGGTTGGAACTAAACTGTGCAGGGCTGCGGCCCTCCAGGAATTGAGTTTGACATCCCTGCCTTACTCCACAAAAGTAAAGAAGTAAAGAGAAAGTAAAGTGGCAGAATGAAGGAGGCTCATTCTTTATTCGCGCACTGCAGATGCTCTGTTTAACTGTTTTCTCACTAGTGAAGTTTTCAGTTTTTCCGTTTACAAAGTCTGCCATGTAGATAGCAAATGGCACATCTCACTCTAAAAGGGAATGTAAGATAAGACTCTGATTGGTTTAATACACATTATGCTCAAAACACACCCTTAACTCATTAAGAGAATAAGCACAACAGTGTTAGATCATGTGTCGGGGGGGAAGACCATATTTTTCCGTCTTTAAATAGCAAAAGTGGATTCGGACATGGTCTTAATGATTTAGCACTATGCACTTTAGACTTTGCACTTAGATCATTAAAATAGAGCCCAAACTATTTTTAAAGAAATAATATATAGAGAATGAATTCTGTAAATTACAACACCAGCCCAGACAATGTATCACTTCAAACTAATAAAAAATTCAATAAAAGTCACTTTTACACTTTTCAGCATCTAAAGTTTTAGGAGGGAAGATCAAGTTTCCATAATGTAATTCAAAAGCATAATTACAAAAAAAAAAAAAAAAACTAAATTACAAAATAAGGAAAACTGTCAATTTACAGATATTTTCACAGTGCAAAAACACAAAGATTATGATGGAAATCAGTTGTCAACCACATCCTTTTCATTCTTTCCATGAAGAAAAAAAAATAGAAAAGGGTGTCAATGAAATCTGAATAGATCTGCTCGCAATGCATATTATTACCAGTTTAAAATGCAGTGTTCATCCCTCTCTGTTAATGATAGGTGGAGACAGGGTCTACAGTATTAAAAAAACAGCCGAACGTTACAGAGTTACAGAAATTGCTTCAAACACTGGTTGTTTGTTTTGTCTTGACATTTGGTGAATATTTCTTTTTTCTAAATTTATTTTCATGTTAATTGTCAAAAATCAACACTGCAAAAAGTAAAGCAAAACCCAAATTCCATAGTTTGTCAGACACAAAAAATATTAAATAAACATGATAACGTATAAATTTAAACACTTGACATTTACTCAATATTAAAGCCGCACTTTCCAAATCCATTGCTAGAATTACTTTGAAATCAATTCCTCAATTTCAGAGTGTTGCAGCAGTAAAAAAGAAACAAGAGAAATCAATTTAAGGTCAGAATAAAGATCAGAGGCTACTTACACTGAGTGCAAATAATCTACTTGTAGTTATTTGCTGTTATGATATTAAAAAATTATGCGTAAAAGCAGACGTCACTTTCAAAATGCTAATACATTTCAATTTACAAACGATTACTAAGAAACAACAAGCAACTGCAAATATTAGTTTGTAAAACATACTCCAGCAATATTTCAGGAATGCAAACAAACCTGTAATTATTTAGTGTCTGTTAAAAACCATGAACACAAATATGTGGCTGGAATTGACCCCTAACATAACAGATATATGTAAACTTCAACAGTTATTGCAGATTTTATATTTTTCAGACTGACAATCTACAAAAAAAATCTTGTTTTTTTTAGTTCTGTCAAACAATTAATCACGATTAATCAATTCTAAAATATAAGTTCATATTTATAAAATTAATTTGTGCGTACTTTGTATGTTTTTGTGCATATAAATGAATATGCATGACTATATTGTATAACATAATTGTTTATATATATATATATATATATATATATATATATATATATATATATATTGTAAATATATATTACAAATATTTATATATTAGTGCTGGACAAAGATTAATCGCAATTAATTGCATCGAAAAGAAATGTGTGTTTGTGTTATATATATATATATATATATATATATATATATATATATATATATATATATATATATATATATATATATTTATTATGTAATTGTGATAGAAACAAAACTATTGTTACTTAAATATTTAAATTTTTATACAATTTCTATCATACATATATATTTTATATCTAAATATAAACAAACATTTTCTCAAATAAATGCATGCATTTATATATATATATATATATATATATATATATATATATATATATATATATATATATATATATATATATATATATATATAATTTTTTATATATATATATATTAATAAATCAATTTTGCCCAATACTGCTATTATTACTATTATTAATACTATTAGCCAATTTAGTTTACCCAATTCACCTATAACGCATGTATTTGGACTTGTGAGGGAAGCTGGAGAACCTGTAGGAAATCCACTTCAACATGGGAAGAACATGCAAAACTTCTTGCTGAGGCGACAGCGCTACCCACTGCACCACCTCTTGTTTATACATAATCAATTTCTTTTCGGCTTAGTCCCTTTATTAATCTGAGGTTGCCACAGTGGAATGAACCGCCAACTTATCCAGCATATGTTGTACGCAGCGAATGCCCTTCCAGCTGCAACCCATCTCTGGGAAATGTTTACACATATATATACATAAATGAACACCATTAAACATGTATATATGATGTAAATACAAACTTTTATCCTCGACGCAATTAATCGTAATCAATCTTTGCCCAGCACTAATATAAATATTTATATACACAAATTACTTGTTTGAGCGCACTATTTACTATTATTTTTTTGCATCTTTAGTGTTTTAAATAGTGTTGAATTTTTACAAAGAATGCATGGTAACATCTAACTCGTGTAACTTTATTAAAGACACAAACTAATAATACTGAAGCGATCTTAAAGCTGCAGAACAAGAGAAAAAGAAACCAGTTTTGTTTTCCTGAAAATGTACCTGTTGACATCAAGGGCTACACAGATGAACCAGTATCCAAGATCCTTTCCCATGTTGAAGACGGCATCATCGTCCAGCTGGATCGCTGGAACCTGAGTGTGGAAGCTAATTTAGAGGCCAGCGATGAGGACAAAGATGAACAACAGACCGACAAGGTGAGCTGACACCAGCAGAGGGCGCAAGACTTTAGCAGAAGAACATCTGCAACAAAGCCAGAGTTTTTAGAAGCTCCTTTATGTTTAGGCCTGTCACGATAATCAGTATATCGACTTATCGGGCAACACATGGACATGACCTCAATCATTTATGGTGGCACAATATATATATATATCTCTCATACATAAAACAATTCAAGCAACATTTTAGCTGATTGTGCAACATCTCTTTTAAGAAAACACTATAGTATTTACTTGAAATTACTATAGTATGTTGTGATGTGGATGCCTTACAACTGAACATAGAGCAGATATCACAGCCTTTGTTATTTTTTACGTTGCACTTTGTTGTTTGCATTTATTATTATTTGTTTAGGATATGCGTTTTCACATTTTGACTCCAATGCCTAATTATTAAATTGTTAAAATAACTATAATTAATTGGAATATTCTTAAAAACAAAATATTGTGTTCTTTGGAAGAGTGAACTTGCATTATGATGCCTTATATTGTCATTATATAATGAGTGTCATTAAATTGTCCTAAATACATTTTGGTGCAATATATCGTACGACAAAAAATAGATATCGTGACAGGTCTGTTTATGTTAAATTTAAAAGGTAAGGTAGAACTAATGACTCCTCTAACTCTATTTCAGCTTCCCATTGACGTCTTCAACAATTACTTCAGCCTCGGGTTTGACGCACATGTGACTTTGGAGTTTCACGAATCCCGAGGTGTGCCCATTCACTCATGTGATTGGATTTTGCTTTGTGAATTGAGAGTTTGCATACAGTTGATGTCAAAATGATTCGCCCTACTGTGAATTTTCTTCAAATATTTCCCAAATGATGATTAACAGAGCAAAGAAATTTTCACAGTATTTCCTATAATATTTTTTTCTTCTGGAGAAAGTCTTATTTGTTTTATTTTGGCTAGAATAAAAGCAGATTTACATGTTTTTAAAGCCATTTTGAGGTCAATATTATTAGCCCCTTTAAGCTATATTGTTTTTCAATTGTCTACTGAACAAACCTCTGTTATACTATGACTTGCCTAATTACCCTAACCTGCCTAATTAACCTAGTTAAGCCTTTAAATGTCACTTTAAGCTGTATAGAAGTGTCTTGAAAAATATCCAGTAAAATATTATTTACTGTCATAAAATAAATCAGTTATTAGAAATGAGTTATTAAAACTATTATGTTTAGAAATGTGTTAAACAAACATTCTTGCCGTGTAACAGAAATTGGGGAACAAAATACAATTCTGACTTAAAATCTGTGGTTTGTTAAAGGCTTCAGATCTTTTAAGATGCCGTTTTGTTATTTCAGAGGCTAAACCGGAACGCTTCAACAGTCGACTTCGCAATAAGATGTTTTACGCAGGGGTGAGCATATCTATTAAAGTGCTGTTGACATTTTATGCTACTTGTATCATTTTAAATGTAATGTATATGTTTTAAAACCTATTTCTTTCTACAGACAGCATTCTCAGACTTCCTGATGGGCAGCTCTAAAGATCTGTCCAAACACATCAAGGTTGTGGTAAGTTGAATTTAGTTTTCTTTTGTCTTATTTCTAGTCCAAATATCCTACAAATTCTTAAATCAAGAAGCATTTTCTAGACAAGCAAAACTTATTGTCTTGTTTTATGAAAAAACATGTCAAAATGAAGTTTTTCCTTAAAAGGAGCAAAATAATCTGCCAAATGGGGTAGGCAAAATAATCTTATGTCAAAAAGAAAAACAAGCTTATTTTATTTACCCCATTGGCAGATTATTTTGCTTCTTTTAAGGAAAAAAAACTCACTTAATTTTTGCGTATTATTTAATATTTGTCTAGAAAATGCTTCTTGATTTAAGAATTTTTAGATATTTGAACTAGAAATAAGACCAAAAATCTAAGTAAGTAAAGCATCTATTGCAGTGTATATTCATAGTTTGAGAACACTGACGTTTCGAAAAAAAAAAAAACTGAACTGAACCTAAATATTAAAAATAAACTTGCAGAACTTAATTTATGTCCTGCGGCAAAATTATTTTTATTAAACTTTTTGTGATCTGCTTGAGGTAGGTCAGTTTATTTTTATGCTATTGATAAAGCAGCATTCAACTTAAGCTCTTTAGACCAGGATTTTTCAAAGTCTAAGACAGTGGGCCTCCCTTTTGACACAACTTATCCATTGGCGCCCCCCCTCCTCCCAAACACGCATGCACGCACGAACGCACGCGCGCACGCACGCGCGCACGCACACACACACACACACACACACACACACACACACATATATATATATATATATATATATATATATATATATATATATATATATATATATATATATTAGGGATGTAACGGTATCAGAATTTCACGGTACGGTAATACCTCGGTATGAATGTCACGGTACGGTATTTATTGAATCATTTACAGGAAAAATAAAACTTATGAAAATACTCCAAAAAAGTGCCAAAAGTGTCAATGACATACAAATTAGCCATCTATCTGTAAGCTTTGAAACAGGAACTTCAATTTTAATAACAAAAAAATATTAAACCATGTAAAAAAATAAAGTTTCAATTTAGTATTGTTGAAAACTCATCACATTCAACATTTAATCACTCACTCACTTAGATAGAGATGGCTTTAAAGGAAAATTATCATATAAATATAATCTGGTAAAAGCTGGTATCTCTGGTTATTTACAATGTCCCCTGCAACAGAAAAACCCTCTCATTTGGGACTGAGGTTTCTGGGACAGAGAGATATGACTTGGCCCAGGTTGACAGCAGTGGGTAACGTTGTGCATTGTCTTTCTCCCACTTGAGAGGACAAACCATGAGTGAGATAGAGGTCTCATGTCTGCATCAATCTGAACAGTGTGCTGTGTTTCTGCAGTCCCCATGACTGATTATTAGTCCTATTCCCCAACTTGCAGGGACGTGCACACACAGGGCTCAACCTGTGCAGTGCACATGCCCTTTTTAGTCTTGGATAGAAAGTTCCCTTCCAAAATGATCAAAAGTGCCCCCGCGACGCGACATACCCTCCGTCCCCGCTTTACAGTACGCGCGCGACAACACAGCTGATAAGAACTCGCGCGACAACACAGCTGATAAGAACTCGCGCGACAACACAGCTGATAAGAACTCGCGCGACAACACAGCTGATAAGAACTCGCGCGACAACACCACTATTCAGTACGCGCGCGGCGACAACACCCAGCTCTTTTTCATCCCTGCTTCTAGCGGCACACTCCATTTCCGCATTACTGGATCTGTAGCGACAACAGACCGCAAGGGATTATGGCCAAGCCTGGGCTGATGGGAATTGTAGTTTCCGGTACCTCCCATTCGCTTCATTCGCCTGAGCAAAATTTCTCGGAAGACTTATAGTTTTACCGAGTCATGCGACTACGGTAATATCGAAAAAAATTATTATTGCGGTATGACGGTATTTACAATACCGTTACATCCCTAATATATATATATATATATATATATATATAAAGACACAGACAGATGTCAGACTGTTAACTCACTTTTATCATCATTTGCATGAAAGTGCAATTATTTAGAGTAATAACAAGTATTTTAATATAACGTTTTTAAAACTAGGATGATGGTTCAATATGAATAAAACAGATCCAAGAACTGTCCATCCCAGTTAAAACAGTCGAAGTTTAGTGGGTCTCATGCTGTCATTAGCCAAAATATTTTGACAAACCACACATAAAGGTCGTGGATCATCAGTTGGTCCTGTCCACGTAAATCCTAAACTCAAATACTGATCATCATATCGTCGTCTTTTGGGTTTAAGCCCTGAACTTGAAGGCTTTTGTGGCGAGGGAGCGTGGCCGAGAGCCGTTGGAACGGAGTGAGGCCACCGCGTAAGTGGATACACCTGCGGTACGCACCTGCCTCGGATCCCACGGAAGGAGCTCTGGATCATAAAAGAAGGAACGAGGGCAGAGGAAGCCGAGAGAGGACCGGGCCCGGACATATTTTACTTTTGCTTTCAGTTTGACGGCAGTCTCCGTGAGGAGCTCGTCCGTTTGTTTTGGTTTAGACGGCAGCCTCCGTGAGGAGCTGCCGTCACTGTTATTAATACATCATTTTAAAACTGCGTCGGTTCTCCGCCTCCTTCTTCCCGGCGGCAAAAGGGCTGTTAACTTCATTACAGCTTTGAATCGGGGGGTCTCAGAAACCGACCCATTGTATTAGCAGGCATATACCTGTATTGGCGGGCTTGCCAAACAGAAGCGAATTCACAGCTATGGCCTTCTGGGTAAAGAAGGTTTTCTTATATTTGACGTATTATTTTTTTTTGCTTTGTTTAATTAAAACGTTTAAATATAATAAAAATACATATAATAATTAAACTTAATAATTATATTTTTATTATATTATATTTCTTCCCGCGCCTCCCCTGACATGCTCCCGCGCCCCCCAGGGGAGGCGCGCCTCACACTTTGAAAACCCCTGCTTTAGACCATGCGCCGGGCCATTTCTCAGTGTTTCGCTACAATGTCTTTAAATAAATTATCATTTAGGCCTATTTTCATTATTCATTCATTTTTCATTATTTGTTTATTATTATGTACAATAATTGAGACATAAAATGAGATAGTAAAATATAAATCAACAACGAAAATGTAAATAAAAACATAAATGAAAAAGCTTATTTAATGACTGTCTATCAAAATAGCAAACATTGAACATTTCTCTATATTTAGGCTAAAAGACTGCTTTATTTATTTATTTAGGCCTACTTATTTGTTCTGAATGTTTGTGCTTTCATTTTAGTTGTCTTCTATTTCTTTAATTCTACTTTCCAAAATGAGTCCTCATTGCACTTAACATGTTTACAATGATAATAAAGCGTGTTAACACATTTTTAATGATTAATGAATCACAATCAGGTGTGTTTTAAAGTCCTGCTCAACTATAAAGTAACACCTTTATATTAATGGTCCATTTGAGTATTAGTAGACTGTCTGCTTAATATCTATTGATACCAATCCTTCAACAGATATTTAAATGACTATAAGAAACTTTGGAAGTACATGTCAACTTACATTAACCTTAACCCTAACCCCAACCTAACAGTCTACTTATAATCTAATGAGAATTAGTTGGCAAGTAGATGCAATGTAACTTAAATTCAACAACCGGACCATCAAAAAGTGTGACCAACTATAATCCTGATTCGACATCGCAGATCCTGCGATGTGACTATTGCCGATGTGCACATTACAATATCGATGCAGAAACGATATATTGTGCAGCCCTAATGCTGACTGCTAGTATTTTAAAAATAGTATGTGTATGTATATTTGAAATTGTTTGTTGTTTCCTGTTCAGTGTGACGGTACTGACCTCACCAGTAAAATTCAAGATATGAAAGTGCTGTGCCTGCTGTTCCTCAACATCCCCAGGTAAACTGACCTGAAATAGAATGTGTTATGTAACTACACAAGGAACACACAAACATCCTTCTATTTATTCCTGTGCTCTTTTATATGGTTCCTGTTTTATTGGCCAAAAAAAGAGAAGAATATTTACTCTACACAAAAAAAAATGTCCAAATAGCTAAAAATTCTTGAATCAAGAGTCAAAAATATTGCTTTGATTTCAAAAATAAGTCAAAAATAAGTTTTTTTTTTCAAACCATTTTAAGGTCAATATTATTATCCCTCTTAAGCAATATATTTTTTTCGATTGTCTTCTGAACAAACCACTTATACTAGGACTTGCCTAATTACCCAAACCTACCTAATTAACCTAGTTAAGCCTTTAAATGTCATTTTAAACTGTATAGAAGTGTCTTGCAAAATATCTGGTAAAATATTATTTAAAATATTATTTACTGTCATCATGGCAAAGATAAAATAAATCAGTTATTAGAGATGAGTTATTAAAACTATTATTTTTAGAAATGTGTTGAAAAAATCTTGCCGTTTAACAAAAATTGGGGAACAACAATTCTAAATTGAAAAAAATTCCAAAATATTGTTTGTTTGTTTTTTTCAAAAATGTCAAAATTAAGTTTGTTTTTCTATTTCCTGATCAATGCATAAAATGTAATAAAGAGATAGAAACTCAATATCATTGTTTATGGAAGTGTCCTTTGATCAAAGGTTTGGTTGACCTTGTTGGGAGAAAGTTGTAAACTTTTTATCCATGGTATTAAAACAGTATACTAAATATTTTTTTTCCTTTTAAAAGCACTTTTACTTGCTCAGATAAGAAATTACTATTCATTCATTTTCCTTCGGCTTAGTCTCCAATTTATCAAAGGTCACCACAGCGGAATGAACCGGCAACTATTCCAGCTTGTTTTACGCAGCCTCATTAAAAAATAACGCCTGCAAGAATTGTCTAATTGTTCATAAACATATATAGTTAAGAGAAAATGTAAAAAGTTTTTTAAAATATGGAAGCCCTAATTCGGATTTCGGAAGAAAGCTGATGCAAATCTTTTGTCTGTATAACTTGTATCTTGTATCACCACCTGCTATTGATAAAATGCTCATTTGATACCTTTATATTGTATGTGCATGCACGTGCCTTTATTTATATATTTGGGGCACAGTGGCTCAGTGATTAGCACTGTCGCCTCACAGGCCAGTTGGCATTTCTGAGTGGAGTTTGGATGTTCTCCCCGTGTTGGTGTGGGTTTCCTTCAGGTGCTCTGGTTTCCCCCACAGTCCAGACATGCGGTATAGGTAAATTGCATGAACTAAATTGGCATGTGTTTAAGTGTGTGTGTGTGAGTGAATAAGTGTGTCCCAGTGCTGGGTTGCAGCTGGAAGGGCATCATCTGTGTAAAACACTTATTTACTTTGTAAATTGCAAGGTCCAGAAGCATGATACCAGAAGAGGGAAAGGTGTAGCTGACAAAAGTGAAGTGTGGTGAGGGTGTCGCAGTCCAAAGTGAAGATGTGGGCTGGGCTGGGGGTGTCGCAGACATAAATGAAGAGGGGTATGGGGTGGGGGGGGGGGGGGGGTAGGGGGTTGTCACATAAGAAAGTAAAGAGGGTTGGGGAGTCGCGGAAGAAAGCGGGCAGGGGGCGGGTGCTTTTGAAGAGGGGGATCGGTAAAGTTAGGTGCCGGATCAGATTTCAGAGGTTCCAGCACAAATTAAGCCCCGCTCAAACATATGCCAGAATAGTTGGCAGTTCATTCCACTGTGGTGACCCCTGATAAATAAGGGCCTAAGCCGAAGGAAAGTTAATGAATGAATATATATTTTGCATGTTTGGTTTGATTCCTTTGGTACATGTTAAAAGTTCCTAAAATCAATAAAGACCAATCAAATGAATCTGCCAATGGACAAAGTAAAATAATATTGTATTGGGTTTGGAATAAGATTATTTCACTTGCCAGTTATTTGCAGGTTTTAAAGAAAAACCCACTTAATTTTTACATAATATTTCTAAACACAAAATATTAGTTAGAAAATGCTTCTTGGTTTAAGAATGTTTAGATATACTAGACTAGAAACAAGTAAGAAAAGCATTTTATTTGCTTTATTGACCCTGAATTTTATCACACTGACGTCAAATCTTATTTCGTCAAACCATGACAGAAAACCTCATAACTAAAAGAGATTCCCGGCTCCAAATGATGTTTATTCCAGGATCAGATCAAATCTAGACATGACAAACTACTCTAGAGTTCATTAAAATGAGATTATCCTGACTGAGCTGGGCTTTATGTCCTGTAGATATTGCGCTGGTACCATGCCATGGGGGAACCCAAGTGAGAACAATGACTTCGGGCCACAGAAACACGACGACGGGCTTATTGAGGTCATCGGCTTCACCATGACCTCTATGGTGAGTTTTGACTGCAGCTCTATTGGATTGGCTATATCAGAATTATTAGCCCTCCTGAATTATTATCCAGAATTATTATAGTATCCAAATAATTTTGACGTCAACTGTATGTTGCTAAATCTGTCCAAATGTTGCTGGCATCTTTCTGTAGGCAACTCTTCAGGTTGGAGGACATGGCGAGAGGCTTCATCAGTGTAAGGAGGTGACCCTGACTACTTTTAAGCCCATTCCTGTACAGGTGGATGGGGAACCCTGTAGACTGGCTCCATCCGTCATACACATCACTCGAAGGAACCAAGCCAACATGCTGCAGAAAACCAAGAGGAGGATCTCTCTACCACAACTGTATGAGTCAGTGCTCTATCCCCACTCACTTGTGTCTATTATCTATCTGCCATTCTATTGTTGTCTTTCTATTATTCTGTTGATTTCTGAGGTCACCAAGCTCAGTCTCAAAGAGCCGGTTTCTTGAAGATTTGAGCTCCAATCTTAAGCAAACACACCTGAAGAAGCTGATCAAAGTCTTAGCAAGGCTGTATCCTAAATCACCCCCCTAAACCATCATTCACTACTCCCTATAATAATATAATTATATTGTTTATTAATATAATTATATTAGTTTATTACTGATATAATAAAATTAAATTAAGGATGAAACTGAAGTTAAAATTGTCCTTTTTTCCTCTATCGTAATGTACATCCACTTTAAATGAGAAAAAAATAGCAGGGCGGTGCATGATTTTGTCCTTTGGGAACCGTTGGAAGATGGGTGTAGCTAACAAAATGGAGGAAGATTTGAATGACAGTTTGCACTCAGTTGTGGAGGATTATGGTCCTCTTTGTACAAACCACTGCCTCCCATGAAAGCAAGCATGAAAGCAAGGAAAAATTTTTACTCACACTGATAGCCCTGCCCTAATGTACTGTAGCCCTGCTCTAAAGTACTACAAGCCCTGCCATAAAGTACTGAAAGCTCCACCCTTAAGTACTGAAACCCCCGCCCTAAAGTACTGATAGCCCACCCTAATGTACTGATACCCTTGCTCTAAAGTACTGATAGCTTCGCTCTAATGTACTGATAGCCCTGGCCCAAAGTACTGATAGCCCCACCCCTAATGTACTGATAGCCTTGCCCTAAAGTACTGATAGCCCCACCTTTAAGTACTGATAGCTCTGTTCTAAAGTACTCAAAGCCATGCCCTAAAGTACTGATAGCCCCACCCTAATGTACTTATAGCCTTGCCCTAAAGTACTGATAGCCCCACCCTAATGTACAAATAGCCTTGCCCTAAAGTACTGAAAACCCCACCCCAAAGTACTCAAAGCCCTACCCTTAGGTACTGATAGCTCTGCTCTAATGTACTGATAGCCTTGCCCTAAAGTACTGATAGCCCCGCCCCAAAGTACTCAAAGCCCTACCCTTAGGTACTGATAGCTCTGCTCTAATGTACTGATAGCCCTGCCCTAAAGTACTGATAGCCCCGCCCCAAAGTACTCAAAGCCCTGCCCTAAAGTACTGATAGCCACACCATTAAGAAGTGATAGCCCCAACCTAATGTACTAATAGCTCCGCCCTAATGTACTGGTAGCCCTCCCTAAAGTACAGATAGCCCCGCCCTAAAGTACTGATAGCTCCGCTTTAATGTACCGATAGTCCCGCTCCAAAGGACTTATAGCCCTGCCTTAAAGTACCGATAGCCCCGCCCTAAAGTACTGACAGCCCCAGCCTAGTGTATTGATAGCTCTGTTCTAATGTACTGATAGCCCCCCCAAAGGATTCATTGCCCCGCCCTAAAGTACTGATAGCCCCAGCGTAATGTACTGATAACCCAGCCCCAAAGCACTCATAGCCCTGCTCTAAAGTATTGATAGCCCCACCTTTAAGTACTGATAGCCCTGCCCTAAAGTACTGATAGCCCCACCCTAATGTACTGATAGTCTTGCCCTAAAGTATTGATAGCTTTGCTATCAGGACTCATAGCCCCGCCTTAAAGACATTACATGTGACAAAGTCGTTTGGAGGGAAAGGGAAGGTTATGGTATTTGATTTAACGAATATGAAGACAAATTAATTTTTACAAAATATTGAAGTGCACAGATTTATTGTTTATAACAAGTTATTTAACATAAAGCGAGCTGTCGATTAGTAATGAAAAGCATTTTAATTTCTAGCATGTAATACACAAGTTATTTTAACAATTAAATAATAATTTACTTATAAACTTACAGCAATAAGATTCTGATGTGCTGCCATCTTGTGGTCAGAAGCAGAAATTCCGAAAACTTCCACAGTGCATTATGGATATTCTCGAGGTGTTGAGTGTACATTGGTTGTACATCTGTAATAGTGGTGCATTGTGGGAGTGCACTTCTGATTGATTGTGGTGCATTGTGGGACTGATTGAGTGCACTTTAGAATGTCCACAATGGTTTCTGTCACCACGACACAAATGGATGCTCTCTAAGATACTCTCTAAGTGCATTAAAGGGGTGATGATTTTGGATACAGCCTTGGTATATTATTTCACTGAAAGACACCGGTCCTCTTAGACCATGTAAGGTGACGCCTGATCTACTTTAAAATGCAGCCCTTACATACATTTTCTTTCTCTTTATTAATGTAGTCAGCAGCCCATCGCAGAGACAGTGCAGATCCAAGTGAACCGTATCAGTATGCATGATTATGAAGCTCTCCATTATGATAAGGAGCAGCTCAAAGAAGCCGGTGAGTATTTCTTCTTCACATCTTCGCTCTTATACACTGATGTACTCTTGCTTTTGAAATACTAGAGACCAGTCCTAACATGTGTGTTCTGTTTTCCTTTCAGCGATTCCCATGGGGATAATTACAGTTCCTGGGAACAGTGATTTGGAGACGTGTCGGCAGCATATCGAGAGGTTGCATGAGGTGCTTTTCAGCTTGTTGAATGCTTGCGAGAAATGCGCCAGCAGTGAGAATTGGCAGCAACCTCCTTCCTCATTTGTGAAGGTTAAGAGGAGGATCTGAACTATCAAAACGTGGCTCAAAGTCAACATGAATCAAAAACTGACTTTGTTAAAGGGCTAGTCCAGCTAAAAAGTAATGTCTGTTATTAATTAGTCACTAATATGTTGTAATATCCTGAGATCGTTGTTAGATGATATCCAGGAGCTCTCTAAGCCTCTATAGACAGCAAGATGTTGACAAACATTGGCAAAATATTCCATGTATAAAATATTCCGCCACAGTGGAATGAACCCCCAATTATTCCGGCATATGTTTTACACCCATCCACTCATGCATTCACACACACATACACTACAGCTAATTTAGTTTATTTAATTTACTTTTATCGCATGTCTTTGGTCTCTGGGGGAAACCGGAGCCCCCAGAGATAATCCACCTGTATCGTCGCCTTTTCTCCCACATTAGGTCAGAGTGCGCATTTACTACAGGTAATACAATGTATTGACATTTGAGTTAACAGAGCAACACACAACTCTCAAGTTTGACTGTATTAAAAGTAACCGCACAGCCTAACCTCATGCAGGAGAAAAGATTTCTATACAAAGGTTTGTTTGTTTTTTGCCTACAAAAGTGTTCTTGGAGCTTCGTATGATTACAGAAGTCCAACTTAGCCAGTGAAGTTTTCCAATTCAATTCAATTCAGCTTTATTTTTATAGCGCTTTTACAATGTAGATTGTGTCAAAGCAGCTTCACATAAATGGTCATAGTAGCTGGAACAGTGTAGTTCAGTTTTTGGTGTTTAAGTTCAGTTCAGTTTAGCTCAGTTTAGTGTGGTTTGAAGTCATTACTGAGAGTCCAAACACTGAAGAGCAAATTCATTGATGCGTAGCTCTACTGATCGTGAACCATGCAAGCCAGAGGCGACAGCGTCACATGGTTACATGGATTTTTCAACATGTGAAAAACGCTTTTCTTAAGGGTTTTTGTCTTGTTTATAGTCCAAATTTTAAAAAATCTTTAAATTAAGAAGCATTTTGCTGACAAGAAAAAAATACTGTCTTGTTTTCAGAAATAATAAGCCAAAATTAAGTGAGCTTTTCCTTAAAACAAGCAAAATATTTTGCAAGTGGGATAAGCTAAATAATTTTGTGTTTTTTTTTTTTTTTCATTTAGACCAGGGGTACCCAAACATTTTTTATGAAGAGCCAAACTTGATTGAGGCTATTGGAACAAAGCCAAATATAGTTGTTATGGGTAATTTCCTAATGTATTTAATTATATTTTAAAACAACTAGAAAACATTGCTTTATATAATGTAATACATCATCATTTTTTATATTTTATAATGAACTTGTTACAGTGAAAACAAAAATATTCTCATTTATAACAGATTAGAGTCATACTAGTTTCTGCCCTTGGTTTGCTCACTGATGTTTTCTAGTCCCCTTATCCATCAAGTGACATTATTTACTGTACTTTAAAAAAAATCTGATTCATTTACAACATTTAATTGAAACATTTTATTTCAGTTTGCTTTTTGTAGCTCACCAATATATTTCTTTTTTTTTTTACATCAAATTAGAAATGACAATCTCTTTTAAAGGCATTTGCCCCAATGCTCTCTATGCTTCTCACTCTTCTCAGATGGGATGGTGGGCCAAATCAAAGATTACGATGGGCCAACTTTGTCCCGCTCATCCTACTTTGAGCATCTTTGATTTAAACATACAATTATTTTGCTTGTTTTTAAGCAAAAACACTTAATTTTGACCTTTTTTTAAACCAAAGAAATTTTTAGTTTAGAAAATGTTTCTTGATTTATTTATTTATTTTTTTAGATATTTAGACTAGAATAAAATCTAAGTAGGAAAAGTATTTTTTGCAGTGTGGAGAATGAGAGAGCTCTCAGATTTCATTTAAGTGAAATTTCACAAACTAATTTCAAGAGGAGAACGTGATATATTCCATGTATAAAATATTCCGCCACAGTGGAATGAACCCCCAATTATTCCGGCATATGTTTTACACCCATCCACTCATGCATTCACACACACTCATACACTACTACAGCTAATTTAGTTTATTTAATTTACTTTTATCGCATGTCTTTGGTCTCTGGGGGAAACCGGAGCCCCCAGAGATAATCCACCTGTATCGTTGCCTTTTCTCCCACATTAGGTCAGAGTGCGCATTTACTACAGGTAATACAATGTATTGACATTTGAGTTAACAGAGCAACACACAACTCTCAAGTTTGACTGTATTAAAAGTAACCGCACAGCCTAACCTCATGCAGGAGAAAAGATATCTATACAAAGGTTTGTTTTTTGCCTACAAAAGTGTTCTTGGAGCTTCGTATGATTACAGAAGTCCAACTTAGCCAGTGAAGTTTTTTAATTCAATTCAATTCAGCTTAATTGCAATAGCGCTTTTACAATGTAGATAGTGTCAAAGCAGCTTCACATAAATGGTCATAGTAACTGGAACAAGGTAGTTCAGTTTTTGGTGTTTAAGTTCAGTTCAGTTTAGCTCAGTTCAGTGTGGTTTGAAGTCATTACTGAGTCATTACTAACTAAATTTTTAGTTTAGAAAATGTTTCTTGATTTATTTATTTATTTTTTTAGATATTTAGACTAGAATAAAATCTAAGTAGGAAAAGTATTTTTTTTGCAGTGTGGAGAATGAGAGAGCTCTCAGATTTCATTTAAGTGAAATTTCACAAACTAATTTTAAGAGGAGCACGTGATATGATCAACTACAGTTGGGTCCTTTTCTAATCATTTGCTAGCTTATCGGATCATTCCAAAATTGCAATAAATGTTTTGCCTAAACGTCATTCCCTATATTCATTTTGGAAAAAAAATAACCTCTATCCTTCCCTTCTCCCTCCTCCTCAATTCTCAAAAAAGCGGGAGGGCCAATTGTTTAAGTTCTAATTGAGCCAGTTGGCACTCTCTGCTGGGAGTTTGCATGTTCCCCCCTTGTTTGCGTGGGATTCCCCAGGTACTCCTGTTTCCTCCCTCAGTCTAAAAACATGTGACATAAGCGAATTGTAGTAACAATTACAAGCACTTAACGCATACATACTGAATCGATTCTTATAGAACCACCTTATTAACCAAAGTATAGGTAAAAATACAAACTGTGGGGCTCTCGAGAAATCCCTGATCTCGTATCCACCTCCTAATGCTCATTGAACAGGCAGGAAAATAGGCTCATCTATCTCCAAACTCAGGGTTCTCTTCGGGACAGCATGCCAAACCTGCTATTATAGTCGAGCATTATCTAAGTGTGAATTTTTAAATATCTTAATTTGTGTTCTGAAGATGAACGAAGGCGTTAGGCTACTGTATTGCACACAAGAGTGAGAAATTAATAACAGAATGTTCATTTTTGGGTGAACTAACCCTTTAACAGATGTTCCTGTTCTTTTTGTAAATGACTGATCGTGCATTTTCCTATGCATAAAAAGGTAATCATCAGTAAAAATTACTACTTTTTCAACTTTTAGGTCTGCCCATTTGCCACTTAACTGCCCTTTTCCACAATCTAAACAAATGCTAGGGAATAACATTCTCTTATACAATTTTGACAATACTGTGGTGACTTTTACATAACTTTTACATTAATGCAACTCCTTGGAAAGAAAACAATTATATAAATATATATATACGCTGACACATCTCAAGAGCATAAATGATGTGTATTACCTTTAAGAGTCACTTTCCACCATAATTAGCTCCATTCAAGCCAAACATGTGATCGTGTGCATGTGAGTCCCATTGCACGTTGACTTCCCGTTCAATTACAGTCAGAAAAAACACATTGTGACTAATTGAACTCACACAGTGAGGCCGTTTTGGACAGGAGCCATTTTTCACTTGCACTTTCTCAGTGTATTTTTTGCTCTCTCTCTCTCTCTCTCTCTCTCTCTCTGCCTCTAGGAGGGGGATGGGATGAATACAGACACACTGCACATGCCAAAGCTTTCACCAAAATGGTGCTTCCTGGACTGTAAGTAAAACATTTTACGCCTTTAAGAAACAAAATCAAAGACAGAATTTGTGTTTCGGTAACACTTTAGTATAGGTCACAATTCATGTTATTAACTACTGGCTTATTATTACCAGCCTATATGAACTGTTCATTAGTAGTCATAAATGCAGATCTTGTTCTGCATCCCTAAGCCTACCCAACACCTAAACCAACTTACTACACTGTCAAAAATGCAATGACAAAATATCAAGGCAACAAATATTTTTGTCACCTTAATATAATAGGTTAATCAGGTTTCAACTAAATGTTTTAGAGATGCAGTATGTAAGTTTGACACCCAGTGGTTGAAATAGGTATTGCATTCCTGAATCAAATCAAACACACGCATAGGTTGCCAGATTGAGGATCAACAGGAGCAAGTCTGATGAATGAGCCTAAAGGCTGAATTAAATCGTGTTCTATATAAAAGCAACGGCACGCGATAGAAGGAATATTCTCAATATTAAAAGGAGTTTTTGTTCTAACCAACATCTCAAATTGATATAGTAGAAACGGCTTCTATTTCTTGAAGCTGAACAACAGAAAACTGCCAATGGTCACCTCATGTGCTTTCTAGTGTTAAATGCAAATAATATGAGTTTCAATGCCATTTTACACCACATTTATTGCCAAACTACTGAAAGCAGCAGCAAAAAGTTCACCTCAGATCTTGAAAATAAACTGCTTAAAACTGAACTTTAGAACTGTGACTGTGTAAACCAACACATATCAGTGATTCGGCATGTAGATTTGATAATGTTAAAGAGGTTTAATATGCATTTATTAGATTATAAACCTTTCCATTTTGTGAGTGCTGTATTTAAACTTGTCTGGTTTCGTCTCGTGCAAACAGCCAAATTGCTTAACACTGCTAATATCGTCAAGTAGCGTGTTGTTAGGACACTGGGTTACAATGTAACCTGCTCACCTAAGGTTTACGCTCGTAATATTTTTATAATTTGCTAATTAATAACCACATAATGTGGAATTCTGAATCTGCGTCTCATTTTGGAGTCTGCTACTGTCCACCGGAGGTCGCATTTCGGTCACGGCCGCCTGCTTTGAGAGCCTTTCTGAATGAATGTGTTTTTCCAACAAGGCAACCCGAGGTGCTGTAATATAATTGGCTAAACTGCGAGGTGGGTTTAAAGAACCAAAACAAAAGACAGCGTTCTGGCACAAAACGCACATTTGTAAAGCAGAATATTGTTTAACGTAACGTTTTTAGTCCGTTGGATTGATATAAGTGGAGATGAATAGAAAAGTTAGTTTGATTTAACAAAAAAATTGAAGGTAGCTAGAATTTACAGTGTAACTAATAATAAAAAATAGGTAACTAGTATATTAAGCTAGTAGTGTTCGTTAATACCATGAATTGTTTACTAAAGTGTTTTCAAAAGTGTGATAATGATGTATAATTAATGTGAAATTGTATCTGAGATTCTTCAGTTTTGACCTTTCCACTAGTTTTAAGTGCCACAAACAAATCTTTCTCTTTGTTTGTTTGTTTCCCAGGTACAACTGCAGATCGTTTCTACCGAATAGATCGTGGTCAGGTACTTTGACACTTTACATCTCTATTACGCGACACACTGTGCTGTTTTTTTTTACCCTACAGCATTGCATGTCTCCGCAGGAGCATCTAAACTATGTGTCGGAGATCTCCCAGGATGAGCTTTTCATCTTGGACCCGGAGCTGGTCACCAAGGAGACGGTGGGCACGTCGCCCGGAATGCCGGGGGCGATGGAAACGGTTGTTGGGGGATGTGGATGTTCCAACAGCACAGACCAGTTCGCTTTTCCTGCCTGCTCTCCAGGGCCTTCTCCACTCTGCAGGTAGATTGAAACCAGTCACTTTGGATGACAAAATGTGCAGTTAAACTGGATCAGCTCATGTTGTTAAAGCTGCAAACAGCCTCGAGGTGCAGTTTTATGTCGCTTTTTTTATATCCGCGGATCGTTTTAACACATAGACTAGCACAGTAATGCGTGGGCAGGATGTGCTTCGCCTGTGGGCATGAGATTTCTGAAAATGTCCCCTGAAGAACAGCTCAAGCTCATGTGGAGACATTGGCCACATAGGAAAATCTGTATTAGGGAACTGAAGATGTCTTAATTATTATTCCCTTGCTGTTAATTTTGCTAGTAATTATTGTAGGTTTAGCATGAATCCATAATATTTAACAATAATTCTATCTTATGAATAAAAGATGTTAATTGACTTATAAAAAACAACAATCGTATTATTATATTGTTGTAACTGGTCATTGTGGAAATAAGAAGACACATTGTGGCTTCTAAAATCTGAGATCACTAGAATTGGATTATTCCTGTTATATATATTAGAAAACATTAATGATATTATTAACACAATAAACTGGTAAAAATCAATATATCTGATAGTAGTAGTGATAATAAATTATTTAAATATCTTCAATTATTTAATATCTGTTTTAAAAGTATGTTTTTTATTGACCTTATTCTAAAATGCGGAAGTGCGCCTGTTTTCGCGATTGTCTTAGAACTTCCGTTTCACTCGCCTATGGGAGAAATGACAAGGAATAATAAAAGGCAAAAAACGGTCAAACTACTTGCTCTACAAACAAATGTTTGCATGACTATACAGACCAAGTAGAATAATATAACAAGGAAATATCAGTTTGCAACATCAAACAGCGAAACGAGCAGTTTTTAATGTCTAAAAATGAATGGAAGTGAATGAGACTGGAAGTCTCGTGCCAAAAAGATTCAAATGGCAGCGCCCGCTCGTCTGCGGAGAATAAGGTCAATAAATTATTGAGAATGATGAGGATTTTTATGCATGCCAAATGAAATGCCTATTAATATAAATAAATATACAAAATGTATAATTAAATTAAAAGTATATATATATATTTATATATATATATATATATATATATATATATATATATATATATATATATATATATATATATATATATATATATATATATACACACACACACACACACACACACATATATATATATATATATATATATATATAAATACACATAATTGACCTTATTCCTCAATGTGGAAGTGTGCCCGTGTTTGTGATTCAGATTATAGTCGCCTACGGGAGAAATAACTAGGAATAATAAACGGCAGAAAAACGGTCAAATTACTTGCTCCACAAACCAGTGTTTGCATGACTATACAGACGAAGTACAATAATATAATAAGAACATATCCGTTTTCAACATCAAGCAGCAGAACAAGCTGTTTTTAACGTCTAAAAATAACTGGAAGTGAATGAGACCGGAAGTCTCGAACCAAAAAGATTCAAATGGCTGCGCCCGCTTATACGTGTAGCATAAGGTGAATACAGAATATTAATACAAAATACTGCATCTGGTTACCTGTATAAATAGTAGTTAACATAATTTGAAATAAAGACATTTCATATTGATTCTATATTAGTATTTTTAAATATAACATAACTAATATATATATATATATATATATATATATATATATATATATATATATATATATATATATACATACCTTGCAATTATGAGCATTTCTTTTTTTTCCTCAAAATTATTCTTTAGTTCATTCAATTGCTAACTAAACTTGCAAATGCCTAAAAAGAGCTCATAATTCTAAGAAAAAAATAGCGAAATGTAAAAAAAAAAGCAAAGTTTTTGAGTATTCACAATTCTGATCTCTCAAAATTACATGATAAAAACTTGAAAAATCTATTTTTTTAAATTTATTATTATGTTAAAGTTTTTTATTTATTATATTTTAAATTGATATGTTTTTAACTTTTCAAAATCTCAGAATTGGGACTTTGATGGTGATTTTATATTAGTATTTTTAAAAACATAATTAAAAAAGAAAACATTCTTTGCAATTATGCGCTTTTTTTCTTCTTAAAATTCTGATATATTTCTTACAATTGTGATATGAACTTGCAAATGCGTAAAAACAACTTACAATTGTAAGAAAATAAGAATTGCGAAATGTAAACTCTAACACTGAGAACGAAGTCAGGATTCTGCTTTTATATCTCACAATTGTATTTATATTTCACAATTTTCAGTAATCACAATTATGAGATCTCAAAATTCCATGATATAAACTTGAAAAGGTCAGTTCATTTTTTATATTAGAAAACCAACATGTTTTTAACTTCTCAAAATCTCAGAATTGCGACTTTTTCTCAAAATTTTTATAATAACTAAAAATGAAGACATTGCGTATTGATCTTGTATTAGTATTTTAAATATAATAAGCATCTCAATTGGAGTAAACAGATAGGCTGTTCATATAGCTATAATAATAGTGTGCTGATATGAATAAATATAAAAATGTATAAATTAAATCAAAAACATAAATAGATATAAAGAATACAAATACAAAATACTGCATTTGGTTAATTGTATAAATAGGTCTTAATATAAGAATTCAATATTAAGACATTAATTTTTATATTAGTATTTTAAATATAAAATAAGCACCACAGTTTGACTAAACAGATATGAATTCAGGATGTTTTCTTACTCTGCATGTCCTGAATACACACATACATAGTGAACGCTTGCAGTAAGTGTGTAACACTAGACTGAACTGATTGCTTTCCTTCCTGCCTGAAATAGAAAAATGACAGTTGCTCTTCAGCTCGAGTCTGTTCCCTCAGGGGAAGTGTTTTTGTGTATCTGTGTGCACATCTGATGGCGAGACAGACAGAGAGAGAAAGAGAGAGAGAGAGAGACAGACAGCAGCGCATTTGTGCCAGAGTCTGGTGCAAAAATCTGTGCGTTACTAAAAATGAGTCTATCCAGGACAGGACAGGACAGGCCCCTCATAAAGGCCCCTGCTATTAAACACTCATTTATCCGTGTTTACATTCACCCTCCCCCTGCTTGACATGCAGCAGATCACCAAAAACACACATCCCATCTGTCAGACCTCATTGTAGTAGTTGTTCTGTTACAGTAAATTATACGCATCTCACAAACAATGAGTTTCCCCGCACCCCTACGTGGGTGGACAACATCAAAATGCGTCAGCAGGTCATTGTCCTCTATTTTGTTTGTCTATTACATATGAAAGGATGTTCTGCTATGATAAAAAAATATATTAGGATTACTACAAATTTTGATTTTACTTTATTACTTTAACACAATTCTAAATATGTCTCAAAAATTGAATGCAAAAAAGCCACAACTGTAAGTTATAATTTATTTGCGAGGAAAAAGATAGTGTTTTTCTTCTCAAAATACAGATATATTTCTTACAATTGTGATAAAAACTTGCAAATGCGGAAAAACAACTCACAATTGTAAGACAAAAGAATTGCGAAATGTAAGCTCTAATACTGAGAATGAAGTCAGAATTCTGCACAATCACAATTCTATTTATATTGCACAATTTTGAGTATTCGCAATTCTGATATCTCAAATTCTGTTTATTTTTTAGATTTGAAAACATTTTTAATTCTCAAAATCTCAGAATTGTGACGCTTTTTTGTATTCGAAAACCAAAATGTTTTTAATTCTCAAAATCCAGAATTGCAACTATTTTTAATATTGGAAAACCAAACATTTAATTCTCAAAATCTCAGAATTGCAACTATTTTTTTATATTCGAAAACCAACATGTTTTAAGTTCTCAAAATCACAGAATTGCAACTATTTTTAATATTGGAAAACCAAACATTATTTAATTCCCAAAATCTCAGAATTGCAAATATTTATTTATATTCGAAAACCAACATGTTTTAAGTTCTCAAAATCTCAGAATTGCAACTATTTTTTACATTCAAAAAACAACATTTTTAACTTCTCAAAATTGTGACTATTTTATATGTTAGAAAACCAAAAATTATTAAATTCTCAAAATCTCAGAATTGTGACACTTTTATATTCGAAAACCAACATGTTTTTATTTCTCAAAATCCAGAATTGCAACTATTTTTAATATTGGAATACCAAACATTATTTAATTCTCAAAATCTCAGAATTGCAACTTTATTTTATATTCGAAAACCAACATGTTTTAAGTTCTTAAAATCACAGAATTGCAACTATTTTTAATATTGGAAAACCAAACATTATTTAATTCTTAAAATCTCAGAATTGCAACTATTTTTTATATTCAAAAAATAACATTTTTAATTTCTCAAAATCTCAGAATTGCGACAATTTTTTATATTTGAAAACCAAACATGTTTTTACCCACCTGAAATCTCAGAATTGCGACTATTTTTTTATATACAAAAACAAAACTGTTTTTAACTTTCCACAATCTCAGAATTGCGACTTTCTCAAAATTTTATATTTTGTAGTTGTTGTTTTATTGGATTTATGATTTTTTTTATTGTTTAAATAAATATGTTTATATACTGAGCCACAAAATCACACAGTGTAAAAAGCGATTAGTTGACTTAAAAAGTGAGTAAACCAATTGCATTAAAATGATTAATTATACAATCTATGTGCATTAAAATTTAAGTCAATGGATTTACTCTTTTTTTTATTTTAAGCGAAGTCAACTTGTTGCTTTTAAGGCAATGGGTTTACTCACTATTTATATATAACTAATTGCTTTTACAGTGCAATTGTCTTTATTTCATTTGTGGAAACAAGCTTTCATAACTTCACTTCATTTCCATAACTTCATCATGCTCTCGCAGGGTTAATGAAACACATGCTGAAAGCCAACCGGAAAGTGTGAGTGAAGAAATCGACATGCATGTGCAAAGTGATCCAGAAAGTCCAACAAATCTAGGCGTGTACAGGTAAAGCTCAAACAGAAGGCTTTGTGGTTTAAATAAGACCTTCATGGACATGACATGTATTATAATAAGCCATGTACTTTTTATAGCAAACATTATTACTAAGCTTACCGTGTGCTTATTTGAGGCCAGTCACCAGCTTTTACAGAACTATAATCACTATATTATTGTGGTACTTAATGAACATGTTCATACATCTACATTGCATGCATTTTTCAATTTTTAAATTAATAATTTACATAAGCATGTCTTTGTCAAAATTCAGATTTATTTCTTACAATAAATTGCAATATAAACTTGAAATTGTGCAAAACAACTCACAACTCTAAGAAAATAGAATTGCAAAATGTAAACCGAGGAAGCAGTCTGAATTCAGTATCTCACAATTCTATTTACAGTCAGAATTATTAGTCCCCCTGTTTATTTGTCCCCAATTTCTGTTTAGATGAGAGAAGATTTGTTCAACACATTTCTAAACATAATAGTTTTAATAACTCATTTATAATAACTGAGTTATTTTATCTTTGCCATGATGACAGTAAATAATATTTTACTAGATATTTTTCAACACACTTCTATACAGCTTAAAGTGACGTTTAAAGGCTTAACTAGGTTAATTAGGTTAGAACTAGGCAGGTTAGAGTAATTGGGCAAGTTATTGTATAATGATGGTTTGTTTAGTAGACTATCAAAAAAAATTTTTACCTAAAGGGGCTAATAATTTTGACCTTTAAATGATTCATTAAAAAAAAATTCAAACTTGCTTTTATTCTAGCCAAAATAAAACAAATAAGACTTTCTCCAGAAGAAAAATATTATCAGACATACTGTGAAAATTTCCTTACTCTGTTAAACATCATTTGGGAAATATTAAAAAAATAAAAAAAAATAAAAGAGGGGCTAATAATTCTGACTTCAACTGTACATTTCACAGTTTTGACTTTATTCAGAACTCTGACCTCAACATGTTTAATATAAACTCAAAAAAGTCAGAGCCAAGTTAGATTTTTATATTGTAAAACTAGCGCAGCACGATATTGGAAATATGTGAGATTTCCCTTTACTGCAATATATATTGCGATATCACAATAATTTCACCAGATGATTTGATTGGCTCTATTTGGAAAGATTTCATTAATTTAGATCGACTGAAGTGATCAAGTCTTTTTTTGTGCAGTGGACCTGCATAAATTATAATAAACTTCAAGCAAAAATAAATAAATGAAGGGTGTTTTTTTGTTTTATGGGGTCTAACAGTATTAAAGAATAGAAAATGAACAAGGAAATGTAAAACAAACAAACTGTAATAATTGTATAAATAATAAAAAAAAATAGAATAATATCTTTATATTATCTAATGCTGTGGGGTGACTACTGCAGATACACACATTGAGATATCGATCCTCAAACTATACATTGTTTAGCCATATCTAAAACCATGCATTTTAACTTGTTTTCTCGGATTTGATACTATTTCTCGAAATTTTATAGGCTTTTTATTTTCAAAATACTGACCTTTTCTACTATTTATTCATTTTCAGTTCATATATACTATCAAAAAAGGCATGCTGGAAAAAAAACAACAAAAAAAAAACTATTTGTTTACGTAAAGGGAATAAACCTGTTGCTTTAAAGTGATTTGCCATAAAAATCAATGAGTAAACAAACTATTTGCATAATTATAAAAATTAAGTTAAGACAATTCAAATTTACAATGTTTTACTCACTTTCTTAAGAAAAGTCAACTTTTAAGGAAATTTGTTTTAAATCACGCTTTTAAGGTAGTCACTCGCTTTTTACAAAAGCAAATCATTCAGTTATTTATTTTGCGGATAAAAAAAAGCTTTCATAACTCCATCATGCTCTCGCAGGGTTCATGATACACATGCTGAAAGCCAACTGGAAAGCTTGAGTCCAGAAAGTGACTCTCATGTGCAAAGTGATCCAGGAAGTCCCACAAAATCAGGCCTGTACAGGTAAACTCAAACTGAGGGGTTTGTGCTTTAATTCAGACCTTCATGTACAAAGTTTGAATAGTGAGAGCCATAGACATGATGACATGTATTATATTAAGCCCATGTACTTTGTATAGCAAACATCATTAATAAGCTTACAAAGTTATCCATGCTGTGATTTCATGTGCTTATTTAGGGCCAGTCACCAGCTTTTACATAACTACAGTGACTATTTTACTGTATAGTCATTGCCTATATTACTATATAGTCACTGATGCTGAATGGCTACCATGTTCATACTGTAGATCTACACTGCACTCTTTTTTTATTAGCGAGACTGCAGAAGATATCCATTTTTTGAATGAATATCTTACATTAGCATGTCTTTATCCAATTCATCTTGAAGGAGGGGAGCAAAAAATAAGATTTCCAGTCGTTCAAACACACTTGAGGAGGACTCAGTGAATGTGCAGAGGTATATTATCAGTGCTGAGACAAATGCAAGCTGCTTTTGATTATGAATAATGGTTTAAATACTCAATTTTTATTTCACAGGTTAGACACGGTCTGGAATAAGAGTGATCAAGGTAAATATGTGTTTGTTTGTTTTTTTAATTATCATACTTTTAAAAAGAACATTATTTATGTACTTTATATTATTTCTTCTATTACTAAACAAAATTATCTTTATTATTATTAATAACTGCTATTAAAAAATGTTTAAAATCAATAATTAAAAATATAATTATGACACAAAAAAAAACATCTTACCAATTAATGGAAAAAAATACGTATGTGTCCCAGGAACACAAAACTAGCCATAAGGAATTTTATAAAGGGGTAAATTAAGATTTATTCATCACCTGAAAGCTGAAAAAATAAGCTTTTCATTGATGTTTTAACGTATGGTTTGTTTTATATATATATATATATATATATATATATATATATATATATATATATATATATATATATATATATATATATATGCATACACACACACACACACACATACAAAATTCTTATAAGAAATATCACCTTTAAATTTCTTAATGCACATTACTAATAAAAAAATGTTTTGATATATTTACAGTGAGGAAATGACCAAACATCTTCATAGAACATGCTTATTTACTTATTATTCTAATAAAATTTTTTTTTTTTTTTTTTTGACTAATATAATGCATTTTTGGCTAGTTCAACAAATATACTCATGCAACACCAGACACATTTATAATATACTGTACATTATTTATAAAGATTTTGGTTTAAAATAAATTTATGTAGTCTTTAATCTGTAAACATTTTGTTCTTTCATTTCTAATTAATTAGAATGGAACAAATAAATGCACAATTATTGTGTTTTACACTGTAAAAAA